ACTCTTAGAATAGGAAAACAACTCGTCTACCAACACCATCCAGTTACGTTGATCATGAATTTTGTATTGATATTGTTGATGGAAATATCGACTGATTTGGTAGAATAAATAAGGACCAATAATATTTGATTTAATGGACTAATATTGAAGCCATGGTACATTATGATGATTCAAGTATGAAAATAAGGATAACCAACATGATTGTATCGGCTATTTTGTAGAATTAGAACAAAAGCCATGTATACCTAGGCAATAGAAATGTTCAAGTTAATGATCAGTTATTGTATATCTTGTCAGTGTACATTTGACGACTATTGTTGTGGAGAAAAATAATTGTTGATCACATCCAATAAAGATATGGACGCATAAATGCTATTTAGACAAATAAGAGCGATCACTAGTTGAAAGATTGTCAATACAAACAAAAGAATAGTAATAATTAATTAGAGTAAAGAAGGAGAATTAGCGTGCTATAGCTTTTCCTATTGGAGTGGATCCAGATTTAAATTAATTAGACTACAATAACTTGATCGTATTGCTATGTAAAAACTGGAAATAGATTGAACGATAGCGCAACTCTACTGTCTTGATCATGCCTGTTAACGATAATTACTACGCCGCGTAGATCTTTCTCCATTCCATTTTAAGCCATCCATTTACATGATAACAAGAGTTGCAGTATCCAATCGTGCGATTAAGAATACTTATCCAACATCAATTCTATCACTGTGCTAATTTTCAACATTTTCCATGTTGGATCCATTAAATTAGCATCAATAACAACAAGGTTAGTCAGTAATAATACAATTGTCATTTTAGCTGGCTTTTTAAGACGCAGCATGTTGACGCCATCATGACTCCGATTGCTATATTGTCAGGACAACTATCATTTTATTCAATCATCAGTTTACTACTTTATCCCAAAGCAATTTTGAAAAATGGGATGGCTTCACGTAATAACTCTAATTATAGTTATAGTGTATAGATAAACCGTATTTACACTTTATTTCATGCATGGCAATGCTTGAAGGAATGATTGATCTCTTGAGTTCATTTTCTCCTCGCTAACGGAGAATCATTTTTTGTTTTACCTTGACGTCTGCTGCCGTTGTTTACCTAGTTGACGTGCTAGCTTTGATTATCATCATGGCTGTTACACTACCTTTTGCTTAAATATCAAAAGGATTCATGTTATAAAACGTTCACGAATCTTTCCTTGATTTTATAATAACGGTAAACAACACAATAAGAAGACAGTGATAAATAGTTTTACCATCTACAGTCAAATGATTTTTTTCTTTTTGACCTTTACTAGTCAAAGCATTACCTGTACTTTGCTGTAGCAAACAACGTCTCATTTTTTTTATTTTAGTAATCTCTCTTCGATCGAATATATGATCTAAAATTAGTAAAGGTAACAGCTGTTTTTACTCATCGCTCATGATAGTATATTGTTTTTTTTTTTTCTTTTATTGAAAGAGTACAAGTTGATGACGACTTTAAATTCTATTTTAATCATCAATTCTTGTGCTACCGCCATAACACGAAACTAAAATGACTCCTTCAATGCCATGATATCTAGCCCTTAACTTATCCCTTCAATCCTATATTATTTGATCTCTTTCACGTCTATGTAATGTCAATGATAATGGATAACGCTGACTAAATAATGATATCGTAGCTATGCTATCAACTCAATAGAAGACAGACCAATGCTAAAGAGATTATTCAAAGTGTTGAAAACATATCAATACGCCGATGATTATAACTTGAAATGATGCCTTGGTCAAAATTCTACAACGACATGAAGTCGATTTTAGCTTTTATTTTCTTAATAACCTTGACCACGACTTCTATTAAGATAACATACTGTAATATAATCATAACTGATGATATCCCTTCATTTTTTACTTGATCTTCTATCTTAACCACAGTAAACTCTGGGATAGAAATTATCTTTCATGCCAATTTAAAACTGTAGACAAGAGACGCTATCCTTTGTCATCACTTCATTAATGCAATCCTGTAGCAAGTTACATGTTTCTTATTGACTGATCATTGTGACTTCCTAATTATTATTGACCCCTTTCTTCAATTACAAATATACCATCGAGATGAAGATATTTGTAGAATGACTCTTTTTCTATCGCTTCTTTTAGCTTCATCATTGGATAGCTATTCAATCTGTAAAGGCTTTCGCTGTAGGATTATCGACATTTACGCTCAGATTGAAAGTGATTGTCCTTCTAGATAGGGGATTATTTCAAACTTAGCCTTAATTAGATGATTAGACAACACTGTAATTAACAATCACAAAAAAATAGATGGCCTCCATCCATCCTATCAACAAGATGATACTGTATCTATAGAAGCAGATGTTATTGATCTGTGCTCTATCTACTTTTTAATCATTGTAGTATTTAAAAGAATAAAGCGAACGCCGATCTCGTTGAAAAGAGATTAATCATTCTAATTTTAGTTCCTTGTAGGAGGTAGCAAATAAATGCCATTCATGACATGATCGATATAGACAAATACATAGACTATCATGCAGGTAGACATTATGTTGGAAATAAAAAATCTATCAAACCTTTCTTAAACTCAATTTATCAATAATCTCATTCCCTATCAAATGACCCTCTTATAGAAGCCAGTCGGCGATGTAAAACATTGAACAGAAATGCAATATGGATCTATTATCAAAAGTCGATTATCCCATTTTACTTTGTCATGAAAATCTGCCATACAACATTAGCACTTTTTTTTTATTCGCCTTATCCTGTTCGATACATGAATAGCTACAAATCACAACAAATACGTATTCCTCAGAAAGGAGGTTCAAAATAATTACTGAAGAGAACAAAAGTTGCCATGAACAACAATAACCCCAAGTTCTATTCCAGTTTAGTCGTCGATATCAGAACGAAACGGCTTTTTCTACCTTTGATAATGGCACTGACAACTCTGTTAAGAATAATAAGGATAAACTGTGTCAAGACAAAGCTATAGGGCATAATTTTTATATTGTTCAAATTATAGTCGTGCCCTATGGGAATTTATTGAATGTCCTCTCTAATTGTACCCCTCCGTTGGAATATTAAGTTATTAAAATGATATTTCTACTTATGCCTATTCGTCAATGATTCGTCTTGACACATGCAATTAGAGGGTTGGGTTAACTAATTCGTTCAACAATATAATATCACAGTCAGTGCTTGATCAATGGAAGGAAAAAGTTCCTATACTATTTTACCTATTCAAGTGGAATATTAAAGCTAATAATCAACTAAAATTACTATTAAACGACTTGATCATACCGTTGCCCTATCGAGTCGACAGCATCAATACAGTCCAATCGCCATGACCATTTCAATGACAAATACGGAATTGAACCTAGAGTAATTTGCGGTTAACTACATATTTAAAGTATCTCATAGCCGATCATGAGATGTTGATTAGCAGGTACTACCATGGCGTTAGTCTAATAAATCATCTATAAAATTGATTAAAGCTCAGCCTATTTTGAACTTTCCTACCCGTTTTGACATTCTTCTTCCTAATTTGCTGTCCTCCGCTTTTAATGCTGGCTTTCCCATTGCCTATCGTATGTTCTTTTCTTTTTTGCTTCCTATTAGCTTTCTTTTCATCTACTAAAACTATCGCTAAGCCGGCTTCAAAGTCAATTAATTATGATTTTAGTGGTCCAATTTTTCTTTATTAAATATTACGGCTTCAAAAAATAGAGTAGAATAGGCGGGAATGAACACTCGCTTATGGAATTGTAGCAGTCGCTAGTTTAGTGCAAAAGAGATCCTCTTTTCCAGTGATTTTTTCTTCAAATAGAGTCTGCTGCTATCAACGTTAGTGCTATCTTACATTCTAAGAAATCTTCCAATTCATTTATCATCTATCGGTAATTAACTTTGTACTTTATTTACTTTATTACCTTGACTCAATTGAACATGAGATGATTTAAAATTAGAATTGATGAACATCTTGTTCAGGTAGCCACATATTATACAATATGTTAATAGCCTTGTTTAAGAATGACTATAATGCGTGTATATTGTTTCAAGAGAACGACGCCATCTTAACAAAGTCTGTGAACTAATTCTAATCCTCTTTTAAGTTGATATTTTCCATATTAACTTTTATTTCACTTCAACATGACACGTAGAATAAGCTTATAAAATAGCCGAGAGTGAAATGGATTTTAAAAAGGACATATTGAAGAAATTAAATACGCTATTTTACAGTAATTAGATTCTATCCCGCCATAAATTCAATTTAGATTGTATTGGTGAAGTTAGTTGGAGTATACATGGTTGGACAATGAAATTTTTTTCTCGAATAGATTCGCAAGATGATGATATCTCAATTTCGTTATATTGTAAACGATTAATTTGTTCGTTATTATCGTAGCAGTTGTACGGTAGATTGAAATAAACAGAAAGGACATGGAAAAAATTACTCATCATGTCACTCATTGATAGAACAGTTGGAGTCCACGAAAGACCAGCATTCTCACTTAATATATCCCATAGTTACTATTCAATGTAGTTAATGATACCACTTACAAAGCATAGTAAAATAGTTTATTTTAAACTTATCGATTCGCTATCTAGTCAATAACCACTTCTTCAAAGAGTTCGATTAACTTCAGACTTTCAATTTGTTGCCCTTTATCGACAGAAATGGCCTAAATGGCACTGAATTAAGTTATAACATGCATGAAGTGCTATTCGAGTTGCGTATATTATTGCTGTAGTAAGTAAGTAAATAAATTGGCATATTAGATACAAGTGAATAGTTTCCGTGATCCATAATAATAAAGTTAACATGGCGAGGAAGTTAATTGTCGAAGGAGTAGCAATGTCCATGATGAAATTGACGTAATTGACTGGTTTTCATTTCCATGTTGTTATTGAATTGCAGACGGTAGGAAGAAATATGGCAAGCAGGACGATAAAATAGCATATTGATATCATTTTATCGCCAGGATGGATCCGCCGAAGGTAATTACAGATGTCTGCTTCTTTTTCCTTAATATGCTGCCAACTTCTACTTATTAATTAGGCGATATTAGATAAGCTAAAGGTATTATCATTGTGGTTTTAGATCACACTCAATACTCGCAATAGACAAAATCGTCAAGATTTAGATTCCTGGCTGAAATCATCTCAAGGCAAGTAATTTTTTATTTATCATTAACCAGCACAATTCAAGCACGATACTGTCCACTCTTACTATTGACTATACTATTCTACCTTTTACTATCGGATAGCTTGTGAATTTTGTCGTATTTTAGAGGCAAAATACAACAATTTCTATTTCCATATAGCATCATCAAATTAGGTGATAGTTGATGGATCTAGTCACATTTTGGAGACAAGATACTGTAATGTTACTTTTACTTAATAGTATAAAATTAGCCGATAGTTTGTGAATTGACTCATATTTGGAGGTACGATATTGCAATTCGTAATATAACATTGCCCGATAACTGCTGCATCTAGTCACTTTAAAGAAGCAATTCAAAATTGAAAGCGATTGGTAGTACTAAATTTGAAAAATGACCTTGTTGATTTAATTTAACACTATTGCATATGATATTTTTACCGTCAGATTGATAGTGCTAAATTTGAAATATAACCTTGTTGATTTAATTTAACACTATTGCATATGATATTTTTACCGTCAGATTGGTAGTGCTAAATTTGAAATATATCCTTGTTGATTTAATTTAACACTATTGCATACGATATTTTTACCGTCAGATCGGTAGAGCTAAATTTGAAATATAACCTTCTTGATTTAATTTAACGCTATTGTATATGATATTTTACCGTCAGATTTCAATTATAATCATGGTGGCAGTAAGAGTAATTATGTTAGCTACACTAAAAGATCGACAAACGCTAGAAGTTCCAATATCGACACCAGAATCTTAGACAGTTCCTTGCAAGCATCGCAAGACCGCCATACTAGCCGACATCAAACCCCATCATCATCGATTAACAATGATAAAAAGCGGAAAGAAATGGCACAACTGTCGGATGCTATTACAGACAGCCTCTATTGGAGGGAAAATTCATCATCGACGACATCATCCACCATTTCCCCTCGACGACCAGTTAAAATACCGGATAAATATCTTTCTTATTTTGTTTCAAAACAACCATCAACAAAACACAAGCAAACAAATAGTCCTTTGGCATCATCGTTTTCGTCCAAAGTTAAGCCCGATAGTATAAGTCGTAGTAGTAGCCGTAGTAGCAGAAAATCCGATATTCATTCTAAACCATCTCAATCACATAGTTTAACATTATACGATCCAAATTCGAATCATCAAGATACCAATAGAAATACTAATCTTTTCTATAGCATGAACGATCATGATAGTTTCCATAAATTATTTAATCACACAAGTCAAAATAAAACCACCAATGTACCTTCCGATAGCGATCAAGGATCCAAGCAAAATCGATCGATATTGAAAAGGAAAGTAAAAAAGGTAAGCTTCAATTTTCTATTAAGTGGAAACTTCAATTTCTCCAGTCATATTAATTCATGAAGATGGATTCACAATCTCGTAGGTTCTAAATAAATACGTTTTGGAATTCAATTGACCATTAAATAGTTAATTTTTCATCATGATACTACAGTAGTATTCCCGATTGTACTTTACTGATAATATCAAGTAGAATATACTCTTACCCTGTAAGTGCAGAATAGCTATCATGATTATTCTCGTTCTTGAAGGTTACTAGGTCATGAGTATCGATCCATTTAGCCCACTCTTTGATCGTAATTTCATAGACTTTTAAACGAAAAGTTCTATTACTCTTGTACCAATTAATCAGAGATTCATCCCCACTCTCTGACAGACTTTAAGTAGATACATTTTGGATTTCAGTTTTGCCTTCATAGCTAATTTTTTATTATGATTCTTTGATTGTAATTCATGGATAATATCAAGTAGATCAAACTCCGATCTTAGAACTACAGAATAATATGTCGTTATTATTTTCGTTTTTATTTCAAGTTTATATAAGTATCGATCAATTTTGCCCATTTTTCAAACAGTGATATCTCAGTCTTAATGTTTTCAATATCTTAACTTAACTTACCCTGTTTAGACTGGTTATATTATTTACATATCATCCAGTATAGCTAGAAGCAGTTCGTTAACATACCTATCTCTATACTTTTATGCTTTTTCGGCAAGCGAGTAGCTAAGTTAAAGACATTGGAGACTCATTTCAAGCAATTTAATCTTATATACAAGTTCTCTGAATATCCTGTGAGGATACGCTACGACATACTAATACCTTACCTTTTTAAATTGTCGTGCGCCATAACAGTTACCACGTAGTTAAGCTAAATTACCATACTACTTTAAAAAGAACTGCTGCGATCTGGTATCAGTATACAATTTCCACTTTTAATAAACTTAAAACCTGTTAAAATAGGGCATAAAACACTGTAAAATCATTTTTCTACCTGATACTCAACCGTTTTGTGCGTAATAATGTACACATGTAAAATCTCTGTGGCCTTCGATTGTTATACTTGTATATGGCCATTTTATTTCTCAACTGATGTAACATCAAATAAAGCTTTACCTCTCAACTCTTACTAGTTATACAGTTACTCCCGTCAAAGCAATATCGAAGAATATCCAGTAGGATTAACATCCTCATCATGGCATTACGATAGAGATCTTCAACAATCTCTGAATAACGATAGCATAAACTCTAATCTGTCTTCCTATCTAATCCAAAACGACAAACCAGATAAATTCAACCACTATATCAATCTCAGTAGCCAATATTCTAGCCCTGCAGGATGGGCTCTAACGATTGTTCGACGGATTACTCCTAATATCGTAGAGCAGCAAAAAAAATTGCCTCTGGTAAGTATCAAGATAGGATAAACAGGGTGCTAACTGTTGTATAGGCATGGCCTATTCTCACCATTTATCGATTGAATAGGAATATTGACTCCTATTGATTTCTTCTTCTACCGTAAAAACTAGGCTCGGTATTTCTGTCTTTGGTATTTAAATGTTCGATTAATAAAGTCGTTAAAGAAGCATCAATATTCCATTGTAAAGAGGTCAGTCGTGGTGATAATAATAATCTAAGAACCACTGTTATCAATTTTTGGATAATCAGGACGATTCCTCACGATCAATAAGATAGTATCATGCTTCTTCATTTCCGATAATTTTTCGATTCACTACTAGCAAGATTCTTTCATAAAGGAACTAAATACAGCAGCATTCAATTAAGATTGATCTACCAAAGAATAAACTAGGCTTTAAACAGCATACCCCTCATAGTAATACATCTACATGTATTCAACTTAAAGTGATTTAAAATTGAGTTAAATCATAATGTCGTCTTGCAGACAATATTCTGTGCTGATTTACCATAGCTGCCCCGTTCTTGAATATTACAAAATAGAGAAACGCTAAATATATTGAAATACCCATATTCCATTTATTAGCAACAATAACTATCGAATAAGTGTTTATTACAACTGCTACTTTTAGCTATTCGTTACCTAGTCAAAAGTAAGCTGAGCTTTCATAGTGCATATGCAAGTATTCAGTATGAATGTCTCATACACGTATTAAAGCTAAAGTTGTTAAAATTACCTTAAATATCTAGACAGCATAAAAGTTATAAAAGGCAAACGTACTGAAATACCTCATAGTCATTTCTAAATTTCATATCTACACACATCGATATTGATAGAGTTAATCAACACTATCGTCGCAATCTTTTGTCGAAATGCTTCCGTGCTTGGCGCTTAAGAAGGCCTGTTCAGGAATTATTAGCGGATAAACTAAGGAGAGTTCATCTATTAAACCATGGATTTAATAGTTGGCATTGGTTAACAATGTGTGATAAAGAAAAACTAGATATTCATCATAGACATGTAAATAAACGAATCCTAGAAAAGTCTTGGCTAACGGTAATTCTTGAACTATACCCTTTGGATGATCTAATTATCCTTTATTTATCACAACTGTATATTTGCTTTGTAAGAAGGAAAATGCTATATTGAATCATTTTCATCTCTATCTTAAACATTCAATAGTGGCAAAAGAGATATGCTGATCGTCGCTATACCATGATTCGGCAAGCATTTTCTTCCTGGCGACAGTTTGTCATTACATCGGCAAGGTAGCATTTCCATAACCAGCAATAGCTTTTCGTAAAAAAAAGTTGAGCTAATCAACAGATGCTTTAGAAACAGTGATTATTACTTTTATAAGAAAGCTTTCCACAATTTTCCTGCATCTCATTTTTACAATAAACTTTATTTATTTCGATTGCATTAAATACAGAAGTAAGGTAGTTATTGATCCTATTAAACTGAAACAAATTTTCTTGTCTTATTTCCAGGGCAACCATTTTAAAAAATAATTATAAAAGACAGGTACTCATTACGTCCTATAAGATATGGAAAGCAAAGTTTTCCCAAGGGCAAGCGTTGAAGATCTCTTCTTTACATTACAAGTAAGCTGAATAGACTGCTTGAGAATTGAGTGAAATAATGATTTTGTAGATAGTTAAAAAATTGTTTAATGGAATCAAACAATTAGCTGCAATCAAAATTTGTAGGTAGTCAAGTGGATACTCATAATAATACTTTAATATGTAGCTTAAAATTGGGCTCAACCGTTGCATAGAGATAGTTAAATAGATATTGTACTAATAGTTAAAAATACAGTTTTAAACTGAGCAATACTCATGATGTTAGAGATAGCTGAGCAAATACTTGTACAAATATTTTAAATATAGCCTTAGGTTGGGCAATAACCTTGATGTTAGAGATAGTTAAAAATAAACTTGTATCGGCACTAATAATTTAATATAATCCTTTAGATTCTGGTTGTAATATTGATATACTGTATATTTGAGTCGGCACTTATAATTTCAATAAGCTTCTTTAGAATTGACAGTGATTGTGATATTAGAGACAGCTAAAATAAGATTTTAACCAACTTTTGTTAGAATTTATCTGTAATCATAATATTGGAAATAGCTAGAAGTATATTTGAGTCGCCACTAAACCTAATTTTTTGCTGTAATTTGGTTTATGTACGAATATAGTAGAGTATCTTATGACTTTTATCTGAAGCAATCTTTTAATAAAATTACAGCCAGTAATTATTATTTAAATTCAATTCTTTAAGGATAACCCTCTTATCGAAACATTGGAATGATTGGAGAACATTTATAATTAATGAAAGGATTAAGAAACGCCAAAACGAAGTTGCTAGGTGAATATAAAATTCAATCTCGAAAGCTTACATCCCTACATGTTCTACAGTCATGGTTTACAGACTGTGTGATTCTATTTCAGTCATTTATTAGTGCACAAAAATGTACTACATACTTATTGGAAATAGAATATTGTTCAAAGCTTTATATTTTAAAATTATTAGAATATTTCGAGAAGAAAGTACTATAAAGAGAATATTTCCACTAATTAAGGAATCGTTTCAAAGGCATCAAAAGGCGAAAACTTATTACAAGTAAGATATTCGTTACATTAATTTTACCTTAATAGGGTAATTTATTCGTCAACTAAATTTCCGGATTGCTTTCTATAAAAAATTGAATGTAACTGGGATTATAGATAAAATATACCCTCGTTTTTACTAATACCGTAATGTCAGTAGCATTAAATTGCAAGTGTTTTAATACAGATATAAAATATAGTTTAAAGTCAAATTACAATTAGTTCTAAATCTTGTAGTCTTAGCAATTGGAGTTAAGAGAGAAAATGTAAATTGCACGCAGCAGTAGTAAACTAAAGTATTCACTTCTACGATCTCATTCAGTTGCTTCTTACTCCTAATAAAATAAATCATATTCCAAAAGTAGACTACATAACTTAGTAAAATCTAATTTTTTCCGTTTAAAGATCTCCTTTAGTTACTTCGTACCCATAACAAAAGAAATCATACTCCCATTTCATGTATATCCAATATCTTAATATTGCAGTCGATTCGAATCAATAAACTATCAAATATTAATGATATTTATTTACGCTATATGTATGCTAGCGAAAGTCGGCAATAGAAAGACAGTCTATAAAACTTAAATTATTCTCTGCAGATACTGTCTATATCTTACAATCTAACCTAAACACTTCCTAATCCCAATATCAAAATATTTTTAAATATCACTATGAAAGTTTCGCTAAGTAATCATTAGTATTACAAGTTATTAATTTCTAAGATCTATAACTATCCTCAACAGATGCAAATCATTCAGTAAATATTTAAAGCAATGGCATGACTGGGCACAACATTCAAGGTAACCTATATAAACGATAGCATGCAGCTTAATTGATATATTACACTGTTACTAAATATCCAATTCGCAAATTAGCATAAACCGCAGCAATGTTATAAAATTGAAATATTTTTAAATGATTTACTTCAAATTAGGGCTTACCACCTCCATCAAAATAGTACCGCTATGGAACACCGTAAAATTATTCTGGTTCAGTCCATGTTAAGCAGGTAATAAAATAGAGACATTGAAATGCATATTTACCTTTACTATCCAGTATATATGCTGGTCAAAGTAACATAATCCATAAAAATTCTTATCCTTAATAAACGTAGATGGCAAGAGAAATTCAAGGATGCAATGGCTGATAAAACTTGCCATACAAAATTAATGAAGTAAGAACTTATTAAAATTCTTAGTTATATTATGTATAAACACTACAAACATAAGGTTATTTTAATCTATACAAGAACAGAAGAAACGAAATTATCAGCATTATGAATGTACTAAAAATTGGTATCTTATAATCGTTTTACAATAATTTTAGGAAATATATAAATGTATGGATTATTAAATACCACAGTAAACTACACCTCCATCAACTAGCAGAAAATAAGGGCAAAAAGGTATTAGCACTATCCTAATACGTAGAATTTATTTCAGCAATATTGCATTTGTTATTGGATATTTCGATTGATCATCCAACAAGCAAACTTTCTCATATTTTCTTCTAATAGTGTCTGCAAAGAAGAATACTGCTAAAATGGAGAGAAAATGCTATCGAAACATGGACCGTTCGTCAAAAATTCATTCAACGTCTAAAATTAGTTCGCTTAAGAATGTACTTTTTACATTGGAAACAAAATACAAGAGTCTTGGGCGATCTTAGGTACCCCATCATATTTTAAATTGTTCTAAATCATTTTTTAACTTTTCATCTTGTCAAACTATCCTAATCAACTTGAAATCTACTTCATGCTCGTTCATTTTAGACAATGTCAGATAGCTGCTGTAACATCGATCGAACGTCTACAAATGATGTCCGTCTTAAGATTATGGAAACAAAAATTAGAAAATCGTTTCCTACGTCAAGTTGTGAAACAGAAATTACGCCAAAGATTGATCAGGTAGAAAACTAGTGACGATATGATAGAAATATGCTTTTGCATAGAAATGTAGCTACGGTAGAGTAAAATGAAGTAAAAGTATAGAATTAATTGATCCTGAACGTTACTGGGCATTCTTTAGGAAAACTGCTAGTAAATGGTTGAAATTACTGGAAAGGAGAAAATTAAAGGATGAAGCAGAACACTTTCAATCCCATCGTCGCTATGTCATGCTACAAGGTATGCTGTAATCATCATCATTCCCTTATTCAGATGGATATAATTTGATATCGGCAAATTATATATGTCCTATTGTTATTTATTTTTCTTACTTTAATATTTTTAGCTTCCTTTCATCGCTGGTGTGCAGCTTATGAACAGATTCGAATGCGAGAGCAGAGCATTCAACGAGGTCGCCTTATACTAAATCATCAACTTACTCGTAATATATTTAATAAATGGAGGCTACAGCTGTATCGATCAAGACTGATTGCTCCATTATTAGCAAGAGTTCACCGAAAAATAGTCAACAAGTAGGTCTACTATTATGTAACTAATCTATAGTGAAAGTTAGAAATATTTCATGGAATTGCAAGCTTATTATCCAATGATTATGATTTATTGATAATGAAATTCAGGATACCAAAATTATACTAATTAAAGATTTTGCTAATTATCACTTATCAATTTATAATATATTTTTTATCCTAACAAATAAGTTGTAAAATCAGATATCATAGCACTTGTTTTTGCCACTGATAACTTGATTATGCTTATTAATAATCATTGCTTATTATTCTTACAAAAATCGAAACAGAGCTTTCGATAGATGGTATTTATTTATTAAACAACGTCAACAACATCAAGATTTATACGATTTATATCAAAGACAAAAAAAAGAAAATATCTTTCATACATGGAAGTAAGAATGCTCCAGTTATTCATTACATTTAACATTATATCAATGCACATTATCTGTTTTACAAAATATGATAACCTGTTATAGCTATTTTAACCTCTTACTTAATCGAACATTAGGGATAAATGCATTACGAAGCAGTTGTCTGATCAATTTCTTAATAAAGTACAATCGAAGAAATTACAAAATGTTTTCAATCGTTGGAAAGGTATAATTTACTTACTACTGATTAATCAATAATATGGAGTATTAACTAATTAGATTTAACGATTAATTTTGATTCCTATCTAAGGGGGTGAAACTATTCTTATTTATTCTACACTAGAGATGTATTATTCACATCAATATCCCAGTATTATGGATCGATATGGGCGAAATTTAAGAACGAAACGAATATTCCGACAGTGGAAATCTAAATTTGAAAATATTAATCAAGAACTAGAAGTAAAAATGGCGACATTGGTAATTGAAATTTAAGAAATTATTAATAGTCGAAAGCATTAATTTTTCCATGAATTGATGTTAGCAATTATTGCAATCTCATTTTTTATTAACGATCTCTTTTATTATATATTCTTAGGCTCGGGAAAAAGCATTACTAAGAAGTAGTTTTAAACTTTGGTTACTAAAATTCAATAAGAAATACAAAGATTGGGAAACGTTAAGTTCAAAATTTTACGCCTGGATTCGTTATTATAAACTCTATAAAATGGCTAAGTAAGGAGATTTTGACTGCACTACTTATATTCCGATAGTAATCTAATATTGTATACTGTATATACTAGTATTTTGAGTAAAATTAGACAATCTTACTCAAGCTAGCATAGCCTGCATAAGATTTAAAATATATTAACTGTATTGTGCTATGTCTTCCCTCAGAATTCTATTTATTTAGATATCTTTGATGTTTTACTACCTACTATAGTATAGGAGAAAATGATAAATTTCTTTAATACTAAAGGTAGAAAGTAATTTTACTTAAAATAGACCTATGATATACCTACTGTACAGCAATTATAGGCAACTGACAGTGTTAATCGTAGTACATTTAAATTACTACTAGATAGTATAATGTAGATCTTGTGATGTCGATTATGTGCAAGCATATACTGTCCACGTACATACATATCCTATAGTCACTATTCTCATAGATTAGGCGAATGGTAGTTTATATGAGTGCATTGGATGACGTAGTAGACACATAGGGGAAATAACACTATCTTTCTATTATCTAAGAGTAGAAAAGATTATGCGCTTGAAATAAATTATCCAATTTCCAATTGCCATTAATTTCAAATTATTTCTAATTTTTCAGCGGATACAAGGAAAATGCTAATCGTGAACATTTAAAGCGATATTTTAACCTATGGCACGATATTGCTACCAAAGTATTGGAATATAAAGAATTTCAATTACAAAACAATAATTTAACGAAACATCCAAAGTTACATCCCTTATATTTTACAAGTATTACTGATAGCCTGCAAATCTATCAACAAGTTAAAAAGTCCGCGATTAGGAAAGCTGATATATCTAATTTGTTGGATGAAAACATGAAACAAAGTTTTAAATCCATAAAAAATACTCCCACAAGATATATATTAAAACGCATGAGCCCCAAAACTGGCGCTATTAAATTCATGCCACCACCTTTTCATCGTTGCCAATCGGAAAATGAATTTTGCCTTCGTTCTAATTACGATAAGAAAAAAGAGCAAACACCTGACAGTATTGATAATCCTTTGCTATCAGATCAAAATGATATTCCTAAGAGAAAAGCAACACGAGGCATGAGTTTACCAATCATTATTACAACTGAATATGAGGATGTTGCAGAATTATGGACAGATCGTGTTGATGATGATTATAGCGAGGTTCAAGCTCGAATGTATTTAAATCAAAGACAAAGTTTAGATATACCAACTTGGACAATTACTCAAAGTTTAATGAGAACACATAGTATCGACAGTTGGCCATCTCAAAATAGCGATGGATCAGGTCTAAAGCACTCAGAGCATGAAACGAAAGATGGTAGCAGCGTTTGCACACATGCAGATGCTTATTCTGGGGATATTTCTAGCATTAGCTCCTCAAAGCCTGGCGGCCCGATTATTTATAGTGAAGGACTACATGACAACGACTCCGATATCTTCATTAACCACCAAGCGAAAAGTAATAAGCAACAAACCCTGATCGATTCTTACCATCACGAAAATGCACAACGTGGTCAGCAAGATGAATCAGAAATTTCATCACAACAATCCGTTGAAACTGTTACCCCCAATAACAATCCAAATATCGATCAATTTGGATCCTATATTGATTATTTAACAGATCGATCGCAATCCTTGTTTACTAATACGATGTTATCATCTTATAGTGACGAAAATGCACTTTCTGAAAGTACTTCGGAAATATCGCCAGATATACTTATACGAGCATATCGTAATGATACTACTGAGGGTGAGCATTTTAATTATATAGCTCAAATGACTGATCGCTATTATTCAAAGAAGTCTAGCCAACATGATAGCAAAATGGATGAAGAAACCGGTAAAGGTTCTAGTATTGAAGGCACTAGTGAGAATAGCCCAATTGAAAGAGACCATGTATATGATATTAATCATTGGCCTGAATATCAAGATTATGGCAATGGCAGTAATATTCCTTATGCATCTAATCTGCATAATAGTCATCATGATGATAGTAGCCCTGAGTTTAAAAATGATCCTGATATAAATAGCGAATATCAACTAGTGGATATGCATCTCAAGCGTGATAGTTTAGGTAGTGAAAGTTCCGGTATCCAGTTGGCTACAGAGGATCTTAATCAAAGATATTATGATCCACTTATAGGTTTACGCCATCGTGGGCGATCACTTTTAGAGTTAAAGAGTAATCCATCTTTATCTAGTTTAGTTACACCGACAAAAAAGAGATCATATACTGATTCAAAGCCATCGATAGATGATATCAAGAAAAAGATAGTTGCTGAAAGAAACGTTAACGATATTCGTCGATTACAACTAAATGGATTAAATCAACAGTCTCAACTTAGAAATCGCGGCACCATAAGGAAGCCAAATAAATTTAATTACATTCTCAAAAGGTACTGTAACCATACTATGAATTGCTCATGATATTCTTCTGCATTTACATCCTCATTGCTGAGAAATTGTACGTTTTCATTTTTATTCTTGTAATGAAGAATGATAACAAACGCCTGCTCTACAAATTTCTTAAAATTTGTCAACGGAAAGTAGTAAATATGATTACCAGTAATTTTAACATACAAATAATACAAATATATAAATATATATTGCAGTGCTATAAGCACGTAGATCTATCATCTTAATATATATTCAATACCGACAATAATTACATAGACATATACTATACATTGCTATGGAATTACCAAGTATTTTACCTTCATTAATTTTGATTTGTATCGCATATTAGATCGGATTATTGCAAATAACTGATAATGTAATAACTTATGGATAGAAAAGTCTTGAAATGTAGAGTGGTTTAGTATCACTCCTGCTTTGATGCCCTTTCGGCTTAGATATTTAGCTAGTTGTAGTAATAATAATTAGAAGCTTCAACCGAAAGATCTGTGGTTAATATTAGCTTCATATCATGCTCTCCGTATCTTCTACTTTAAATTGTGCTTTAAATTTAGGATATTATATTTGATGATCTTAATTCAGATGGCTTTTCTGATAAATTTTCTTCTTCTTTATATTGCTTTCCGATCCTACAGTCACCCTATCAGCCAAGAAAAGAGAGAAAAAATTATTCAAGATACTTATCTGAAATGGCGCTCATTTATTGATGTACAGAGTAAACGTCAAGAGATATTGAAGAAAATTATCGATGGAAACGATAATGATAGATTGGAAGAATTCTTTCTAAGATGGAAGGGAGCTTACAGAAAAAGTGTACAAGCTAGTAGATTACAAGTTAGTTGGCAAATTCTATTTATTAGCATGCAGCCAATTATTAATTATAGATTCAATATTATCAAAATATAGAAATCTCTGCTGATGGAAAGTGCATTAATGCAATTATATAAATATAAAGAATATCGAGCACATAAGAAAGACCGACAGGCGTTAGCGATGCAACTCCATCAACGCCTTCTCATACAACGATTCTTTATCCATTGGCTTGAAAGGGTATGTAAAATTGGGAAAAGAATTTATATCTCTAGAAGAACGGTAAAAAATGATCTTCGCTATAATCCGATTTTTATTATAACAGATACAAATTTTTTATTAAAAAAATCAATTGCTTATACATGTTTTCTTATTTAGACATCTAGCAAGCAAAAATATGAAGATCAATTCCAGAAATTAGGATTAATAGTAGAAGGTATGTCTTATATGTTTGCTCCTTTAATTGCATAAAATAATTGTAATATGTAGATATGATTTACTTCGTTGTTTCAATCGATTACGTAACCAATACTTGTTTTATTTGTATGGCGTAATTCTGTAGCTAAAGATAAGCAATTAGAAGATACCAGAAGAAAATTTGTGCAAATCTGCCATAAAAGGAAATTAAGAATTTCGTTCAATATTTGGCTGAGTGCATCCAAACACCAACAATTTGCTCGTCAATTTTATGAAGAAAACTTATGTAAAAGGTAATAAGGATCAATATTAATTACGATACTAAAAGTCTTAAAATCTGTTTTAAAGTGTTGACATAAAATGTAGTAAATTTAAACAAAGAATTATGGGCTATTCCTGTAAGAAATTATTATCATATAAATCAATAACGGTCACTAGTCTAAATATCATATTCTAGCAACATTTTGTAACATAGACCCTAGTAAATTTAACAATTGATTTATGAACGATTTCGAATACTGCCGTATCGATCGGTAATAGTCTTTAATCTTAATACTACATTCTCACCTCGGCCTATAAAGAGAAGGAGAATCTACTAATATAACTATTGGCATATAAACTATTTCTAATACTATCATATCGATCAAATATATAATCTAAATACTGCATTCTATCCTTATTTATAATTTGAAACTTAGTAAATTCAAGTATTGGTTTACGAGCTTCCAGAAGAGTAAAGACAGAGAGAATTTATGCCATGACTTCATAGTACGAACTTGTCTAAGGAAAATTTTCAATCATTGGCGATTTAGCGCTAATTCTAAAGTGGATAGTCGCAATATGGAAGAGGTAAGATATGGAAATCTATACGTTAAATTGCAATAATCTTTACAGAAAGGTAAAATTAATATATAGCAAAATTTGGAATTCACTCTTTGACAACATAGAAATGAATCTTGAAATAAATTTATATCTGATTTAATGATTACGGCAGTATGATTGACACCGGATGCTTTATCTATTTTTTATTTTATAGGCGATAAATAAAAATAATATGATAAAAATCATGAAAATTTGGAGATGGTGGTCAGCAGGTACGATCACGCTTAGATATAGATTTTTAGTAACGCGTCATTAAAATTTTGCGGATGGTAGTTACATTGATTATGTTTCTTTTGAAGCCCTTTATAATGTCTATCAGAATGCAATAATACTTATAACTATATTTTATCTATATATGAAATAAATAGAAAGTAAAAGGCAAAAGCAAATAGCCATGGAGTACTATAGCCATATACAAGGCTTGAAAAGAAAGAGATATTTTCAAAGATGGATTAATCAGTGGAATTACTCTATTCGAGCTAAACAACATTACAATAACAACTTAGCTAAAAAGTATGTCCAATATATCTACTTTCTTATAATAACATCATCTACAATTAATTAAACGTTTTGTCATTCATTTTTCCAACATTTGAATTAGTAGAGTATTAATTAATTGGCATCAAGTTGCTCACAAGCGTGCCTTACTCAGGAAGCAAGAAGATCAATTGCGGAAACAAATTGTAAACCAGCTGGTAAGTGTCCTTTGATAATTGTAAGTCATAGCATATAGCTATGACTACTGCCTATATATTTTATCTAATAAGTATTCCTATAGATCGTCGATCCAATACATAATTCTAATACTTGCAATTACAATTTCAGTTAAAAAAGGCGCTGACTCTTTGGAAGAATGCTCATGAAACGGAAAAATTAGTCAAAAATAATTGCCATAAGAGAATAATGAAAGTAGCGCACGATGCTTTTATCGCATTGCGGATGCACGCATTGGAAATAAGAAAAAATCGATATTGTGAAAAAATGGTTATGAAAAAGGTAGAATAAGTTTCACAGATTAAAAATTAAATGTATCGGTGGTGTCTAGTTTCTGTAAATATTTTTATAAGGTTATCGGTATTATATATTTGACTGGATTTACGGACTGACCACATATTAACTCGAAAATTCACTTTAGCTATATCTAAATGAGGCTATTAGAACTATGTAGCTTAGTGTTTACTTACGTTATAATGAACTAGTATGTAGCAATACAGAACTTTATACTTAATGTCGTGTAACATTACGCGTGAGTGCAATATTAATAAATATAATTTGGCTTCTTGCATCGTCAGTACTACGATATTTGGACACAAGAATATCAATCATTGAGGAAGGTTTGTACCTAACCCATAAATGATTATTTTTCTTACAAAAATCTATTACTTTACTTATATCTGATAGTATATCTCTGGCTAACTTTTAAATTAATATACACAATTTTCTATGAAACCTACAGAGCAAAATTAGTCTACTGAGAGTGTATATACTAAGTTGGTATAAGGCAGGCCGAGGTAAGGCTGCTTTAGTTCTATTAAACGTATCAAAATAGCATATAGCTGGATTTCAACATAAACGGCTATAATTTTATAAACTGATACTCACTTTATTTATAATACAGATGTTAAAGACATGAACGCTGCCGCTAATGCATTTTCCACTTCATTGGATCGAAAATTGATGAAAGGAATATTTTATCGATGGCGAACAATGTGGTTTAGTAAAAATAGGTGCAAGAAAATGATAACGAAAAGGTACAAGCATTATTTCAGTGTTTACACGTAGTTACCAAATGGAGGATAAATAAAATTCTACAAATCTCCTTGATTAAAATAAAGAGACTATTCTACTTGATTATGGGTTTTCTGCTATTAAATTAGCATGTGATATAATTGCAATCTTTAGAATCTTTCATGCTTGGAAATTGTACACTTCTGAAATTAAAACCAAGAAAATGAAAATAAATAGTCTTATTTGTAAAAGAAACCAATATCAGGTAACTGTTTATGACTATATAACGTCTAATCAAAGCAAAGGTTAATATACTATTCATTCGTCATATAACACTCGTATTCTGGGATATTTATTACGACTTTACAGATACAAGAAGCGTTCGTTGTGTGGAAAGATGCTCTAAAACAAGTAAATAAATGCAAATTGATTCTGGAAGACTTTTCAAAAAAGAAGGATTCCATAGCATTGCGCAACACTTTGGTAAATTGGAGATTAGCAGTAATCTATCAGCGACTAGAAGTGGTGCAAATCCGTAGATGTCAAGCCAAAGTATGATATTGTTCTACCTTCTTTTTGATTATATATGAAGTATGCAGTCGTAAAAATTGGTTAATATATTCTTACATAATGATTTTATCTTTCTATCGTAGCATTTTAAGTTATGGATGAAGCGCTTCCGTGAAGAAAGATTGACAAGAAAGGGCCAAGAGGTACTTTTAACCTATGCAATAAGGCTGGACGAATACAAGTATTGCTTTGGATTTATATAGTAGCAATACTAAGAAATTCTACAATAAATCTTTATTCTAGGTTGTAAAGTATTCAAAGTTATCAACCATATTTTACAAGTGGCATCAATACGTCATAAGTATGTAATGCTAATATGATCGATTGAGGCATCCTATTATCATATCGTTATAAGTAATAAGAATAATTACAGAATTGAATAAATTTAGTTTAGTTTATTATAGCAGTAAAACAGAATAACGATCATACTGACTATTATATTTTTTAATGATAATGCAGAAGTGAAAACATGTCGAAATATGAGTCAGAAATATAAAATAGAACAAATTTCTCGCCAAGTTCAATTGACATTTTATTACTGGAATAAAACGACTAAAGCCAGCCAATCTGCAATAAAACATTATCAGCAACACTTGATGATGAAGTAAGGCAATATGTACTATTTCTGGATCTAGCTCATCTATCTTAAAAGAATAGTGCCTTAATTAGAGTGAATCCTTAATAGACATTTTTTTAAGTAAAAGGATGAATTAGTCCTAACTATGAGGTATTTTTTTAAACATAGAATTTGGACTCCTTGGCTGGAGCATAGCGGCGCAAAGAAAGTAGAAAAGAGCAACATTAAACAAATCCAGCAACAAATTGCAAATCGTAGGGTGCGTTTAGTTAACATTATATTAGAAATTCTCAAAGTACTACTTTAAATTAACAGATTAAATCCCTCTATTATGTTACTATACGAAATTACGACTTTTGAAATTGCATGTCTAAACTACTTAATGAATATATGTCTGACCACGATGCTAGATTGCTAAAATTTTTAGGGTAGATAATACTGCATTAGATATTATTTTGGCCTATTCTAGTAAGTTAATTGTCGTTGCTATTTATCTGAAGTTTTTTAATATATTTGGATATGTTTCAAATTTTGCACTTATAGTTGAAGCAGCAATTTATGAAATGGAAAGAGCAATTTAAGATTGCTGTGAAAGCAAAGACTGCTGTAACAATACTTAAACAGAAACGTGAGGATAAGTTAAAGCAAATGGTAATTCATGAATTTAAAATAAACGCCTTGGAATGTCGAGCAGATCGATTTCATATAAAAAAAAAGTTAATGATGGTAAGAAATATAGTATTTATATTTAGTTCTATCTTAGGCATCAGTATAACTTATTTACTCGTCAACTCTGTTATAAACAATACGGACGCTGTGCATTTCTTCCATCTTATAATTAATTTTTGCAGGTTTTCAATGTCATGAAAGTCCAAAGTAAGAAGTTACAAGAGAAATCTGCTAAGCTTGAGGTAATAAGCATGTTGAATTAAATATGCGATCACTTATGCCATATAAGATAAAGATATTATGATAATCATACTAATTTAATTAATTCTACATGATGATCAAAACTTCTAGGCTTTATTAACGACTGCTTTAATGCAAAGCTATAGCAATTTAAGGTACAAGAATCTATTTAGTTGTTTTAAAATTATCATTTTATACAAGTTTAACTAATTTTTCTTACACATTAACTTGTAGTAGAGAATACTTTATTGATTGGAAGCAGTCGTACGTGGAAAGAAATCAACTTAAAATGGAAAAGCGCCAATTATTAATCAAATATTATTTATCTTGGAAAACAAGGGCAATAAATCAGATAAAAGCGAAAAAAATGGTACGTATTACGATTTCAGGATTAATTAAAATATTAAAATTGGATCATCAAATTGGATACTCTGGAATAGATTTAATGTTGATAGTAAGTTCACTTGTTATCGTTATTTGACAAACTTCCTTTACTAACTATTATAGCGACAACTATGCCTACTGGATAATGCTTGGAGCCAGTGGAGGAGATTATTTATTCGAATACGGGTTGTTAATCTCTTCGTCGAGCAGGATAATAAACAGTTGCTAAGCAAGGTAATTTCTTCCTCTTTCTTATGATGCTTTTAAAAATTAGTTGTAACATTGTTAGGCGTTTACTTCATATACAGTATATTTATTTCGAACTTGGAGTTAAGAATATTGTATAGAATTCCAAAATTTCAAGTTTATTCATACTAATGACTTGGGAAATACAATTACAGGTACTAGGATCATGGCATGCATGGGCTTCTAATCGCTGCCGTTTACGCCAACTTTTAAATAGGAAGAGAAGAAAATTATTGCAAGAATTTTACTATCGATGGCAGGATCGATATAACTTTAAATAATATAAATTAAAGATAATTGATTTCTTACATTGTTATTTCTAATCGTAAATTTCTCTTTAATAATATTATACTGTAAACAATGTTGAGATAGTACAGTTAAGAGTTGAGATGGCAAGCGATAATGAAGACTTACTACGATTCAATTTGTTAATTGCGCAATGAATAGGTTTAATTTTTTACTTCTAAGATAGAATTCAAAATCGATTGATTTAGATCATTTTGAAATGAAAACATATCTACTGAGATGTGTACATGTTTATGCGGCAGTATTAGTGAAGATTGCAATGAAAAATAGTTTGAGCCTATTGTATTTATAAGCTATAGCAATAACTGCCTACTTACTAACTTTATATTTGTGATTGATAGAATTATAATGTTAATAATCCAATAGCTCTTTGTTTTTTAACTAATTAAATTAAATTCTATTGCTGACATTTTTAAGATGAGAAAAAATCAGCAATGCTAAAATAATTGTCTCGATCTGTACGTATTAAAGAATTTATGTAAATCCTTACGGCTAATGGTAATAGAATTTTTAACTTATTCCAATTCTATAGTTCCAGTTTGAATCTAAATTTAAGATTTTCTAATAACAGGAAGAACATTTAGAAAAATTTTTTACATGCTTTTTACGCAGTTTCAAGCCGTTTTATCAAGCCTATAATTACTTTTGGTATAGCTAATTTTAAAAAATATCAATGTTTTTAAATGCACCTACTTCAATTTTACATACATTTATATCGTATTAGTTTGCTATTTGGATGATAGCAAACATATCGACTGATAAACATGAAATATAATAAGGAAGATAAACTTTAGAGTCAGATTCTCGCGAATCTGCTTCCATGATCGACCTAATAATATTACAATTTTTGCTTCATGTAACAAAACTTTACTTTCTGTATATAACATTATTTGTTAACTGTTTTTTTTTTTTATTAATTCGACGTTAATAAAACGACATTCACAACAATTTCTACTTGAAGTTATTTGTATATGATTGCAATAATAGAACTTTTAGATAGCCATCGCGTCACTATACTAGATTGCTCGTTATTGCACGTAATATTGGCCAAACTTTTCAGTAGTAATACCATAAATAGTCAGAGTTAACGAGAAAAGCAAGCTAAGATTAAACTACAGTACCGGCACATTAAATTGAAATAGCAATTTAATCCCTATCGATCCTGATGACTGTATCAGCTAGATGACTATATTTGTCCGTTATGTAATATTATGTAATTATTAAGAATTTGTCACCTTATAAATATGTATCCGAAAAGACTTTAAACAGAAGTCATTCATAAATGCACGTTATTACTAAATCAGTAAAGAAAGGAATGCAGCACATAAATAGCTTATAACTGAATTTGTTACTTGCTTTATTTGAGGATCAATCAACCAACTAATAATATATAATTAAGAAAGTTCAAAATTCCCGATATGACCCTAATTCCTTATAGCATTGATCATACAGTAATGCACTTAAATAAATCAAAATTGTATGAAATTTACATTGATTACTAGGCTAGATTTAAACGAAATCCAAATAATAACCATACGAAGAATTCTACTGACACATTTAGTGTAAGTTTAAAATTGTAATACGATCGTTTAACTATCAGACAACACTAGTTTCCAAAGCTACTACCACCAATATTGCTGCCTTCGACTCCATCTGGTGAATGCATTTGCGAGATTAATTTAGCGTGATCCGGCAACTCTGATTCAGGTAGAAATGGTGTTGATGTACCAGTCGTACCAATCTTTAAAATATTTTCCTTTAAATCGATGCAGCACTAATAGGTCAGTAGAACCAGTAAAATGGAATTACAAAATATGTTTCAACATAATTTGGTATGGTGATTGACGTTAATATGCAAGCAGAGCAAAAAACATCAATTTAGAAGCTTGTATCAACTTTATCTGTAGAGCTAATTAAGTACTAAAACAATCTTACCTGATGTCTTTTTAGCATATCCAGTCCTAGTAACATATCTATTGACTGGTCTTTAAGCACAGAAAATGATGATGTAAGGAAATCTGCTTCAATTTGAATATCTACCATATGAATTCTACCAATTATCTCTTGTTTGCCGACGCCTACAGCTACTCCACGAAATCTTTTGTCAACTAGGCGCACAATATTACAGCGTTTAGCACAATTTTCACTCATGATTGTATGTTGAGCTCCAGAATCAACAAAAGCTTTGACCGGATATCCATTCACATTGCATTTAATGTATAACATGGTTACCTAGTGATTGTGAAATACGCCAGTTAGTTGAAACAGGTTATCACTATTAGAACGCAATTATTTAGTGGTAGAATATTGCCTATTACCAACGAATTTGACCTTTTAATACTCACTTTTCAATCTTAAAAATAACGTAGAGATTAAGATAATCATATTGAAGAAATACTTAATATATTGATTTTTATGATGTACATATAACGTGTGTAGTATGATCTGGAAATGAGTAGTCATTTAACATTTAAAAATAAAATTGTGATACTAATTAATCTACTTGTGTGAGCACTGGTATGCCATAGTGAATCGATTTGCATATTGTGCTGCAATGTACATTATTTGAGCCTAAAACTGAGGCTGCCAGTGATGGAGAATATTGTTATTACAACCAAGAATATTAGTAATCTTACCTGGCCAAAAGCTTCTGGGTTATATTCCATTGCTCCCTCCATATTTTCATTGATATTCTGTCTATGAATTAATTCTTCAATATGTCTTTGAGCTTCCGGATCAAATAAATCAGCATTCATAGCACGTATAGTTTTCAGTTGTTCTTCGGCAATCTGTTGATGCTGTTCTTCAGCTATCTGTGCAAATTTGGATGCATTATGAATGTTATCGGCCAAATTAGGATTACGTTCTTTCAAGATGGCTAGTTTTCGTGGATCATTGAGTAATGCCTGACGCATCATTTCCGCTTCAGTAGCTCTACCCTGACTTTGAGTTTGTTGAACATTCTCGGGGATGGCAATAGAATTCCAATTTAATTGTGGAACGGCCGCTTGCGAACGGTTAGAGCTGCTAGTCATTTGAGGCGGTAGTATATTTGTATTATTACCAGCTAAAGCGCCAACGGCTGATGTTGGCCTAGCATACTGGGAACTACTTTGGTGACCTCTTGTTTGCGGGACTGGAATAGAGCTGAAATCCAATTGCGGGATAATCGAACTAGTTGCTGAAGAAGCATTACTTGAAGGATTACTAGTAGTACCAATGGGATTAGTTGATTGGCGATTAGGCTCTAAAAATGGGTAAAATATGAAACTGGCATCAACAACGGCAAGTTCACGATAACCGTTCGATTAATCGCGCAAGTTAGCCATGGTGTTAAATCGTGGATAGGAGACTGATTTAGCAAAGTTCTTACTTAATTCTGTGAAAATTCATGTTATGCAATCATTTGTTTGTAGAAGTTGATCATCTTCACGTATACGTATGTACGTCAATGTGTAGATGTAAAATACACTATTACTATAAACTACAATATGATGTTATTATCACAATTGTATTTTTTCTCTTAATCGAAAGATGTCATTGACAGCATTAAGCTAAGCTCATATTACTGGATAGATACTTTTCTATCTGGTACTTAATAGTCTGCAACTATATGCCTTAATAATACAGCAACATCCACGTACAAGTAGAGCATAGACAGTACAAATATACTAGGCCATTGACCAGCCATTCTATTTCAATAAATTAAGCAGAAAGCGAATGGTAATTTAATCGCTACTATCATAACCATACGAGTACTTGACTTGCAAAGCAATTGCTCTTCGATTTGCCGTCACTATTGAGTAAGATGTTATACTTAATGAGGATGTCCAAGGTAGCCGAAGCATCATAATTACATTACGAAACTACGACTTTGAATGATGCTCGGATTTCAATGTTGGAAACTGATAGAACTTGATCTGATTTATAACAGTATAGTGATTAATCGAATTACAAAAATATCTTACTGTTTTAGTCCACGTAAGATATAAAATCTACTGTACAATGTACACCCGTCAAGGTTGTCAATGTAGAAAAAGAAGAATGTGAATTTAGTAAGTCATTATCATCTACGATAACACATAGATATGGAAATTACATCATCATTGAATTGCATGATCAACAAGTAAATGATCAATAAGTGAATAAGAGATTGCTATTCCTACTATCGTCCTAACAACAACAACTTATCCTTTCAGTTTAATTACGCTACCTACAATCATCACAGTTATATATAATAATATTACCTGCTCCTTTTAGCTGATACGTCAAGACGCTCCCATCTTGTACATTATAAGCTTGTAAAGATTTTTTACCATCGCTTAATTCAACACCGCTATGATAAAGACTAATGACATCAGCCGGTAAACCACTCATGACTTCCAGTAATGCTTTAAAGTTCTCCACTTCCATGTCTTGGCTTGCATCCACCGGGATATCACCAGTGTTACCTTTGACCACGATTCGCATGATTCCCAATACAGTCAAGGTCGTTAATGCTAAATCAATACTACAGGTAGCTAATTTTTTTCTCAACGATGAACTAAAGTGGTAATTCAACAGATTGGATCGATGGATATGAAAAATTTCTTCAAGCTTGCCCTTCCAATGTATGAAAAAGATGATTCACGATGATGAAGTCATTGTTATGGCGATCAATCAACGGTACTGTAGACTAGTGTACATTGTACTGTGCACTGTACACTGTAAAGGTTTGGGAGTCCAGTTGGGTGCTATTGAGGGTTACAGAAAAAAGAAGGACAATGTTGATAGTGCGCAACAAGAGATGTCACCTGCAAATTTATTCCTTCAATAATAGATTATACTATCAATGCATGCAAGGTATGACTGATTATTTGCACAAAGATGGACAAAGTTTTAGTCTTTGACTTCCTATCATCAATCCCTAGATACTGTCTGTAGAACTCGCTATTTTTATCGAAACTACGAAAGGTCTATAGTTCGGTTTGGTTCTATGCAGCCAGCCCTTTTTTTTTTATGGGTACCTGTTGCCAGTTGGTCAAATGTTTGTTTTTTGCAATTCTACTGTACTGTATGGGTGATCAGGTGTCTCGCCTCCGATTTCCATCAGCACCATCAGCCATGGACTTCGAGATACCTGAGGGCTGAGGTATCTCCAAGTCCAACTCAGTAATCCGATAATGGCTTATTGATCGTGATTAACCCTAGGTATTACAGCATGTACAACAAATATTACTCCGCACTTTACTGTCTACCTTGTCGATTTCCATACTACTAAAAAAGGAGACAAACGGGAAATGATCGTTCAGTTTACTTAAAATGGTGAGGCCTACAGTTTGTTGGCCATATTAAGTGTAACGTAGGTCCGTAATCCTATACTATACTGTACTGTACTTTTTAAATGTCCTCGGCTATACAGTATTGTCTATAATGATTGTCATCCAAATGAGCTACTAAGTTGGTTTTGTACAGTATGGTGTACGATTTCAGTGGTACGGTACAATACTGAATAGTAAGTGCAGGCGACGCTATAATTATTATTACTTAGATTGGATCACAATCATGTAAAATGAAACCTTTCTGTTTACTCTCTTATTAGTAGTCTCGGATTAGACGATCTATTTCTTAACTTGAGCGATTTTTGACTTTGAGGAGTACTCTGTATTGTACAAGTCACTACAGCTACGATACCATTTACTAGTAAAAGGATATACAATAATATACAGTAGATAGGAAGTCAGAAAGGTTAACTCAAAAAGAAATAATCCGTGGCCTAGTTTCCATGGCAACTTGTCGATATTACTAACCACTGCAGAAAAGGCAGAAATAATCACATCATCGAGTATACAATTATACTAGCAATTGATCAATAATATTATTAAGGCATCGGACTAAACGGTACGCACGATTGATTTAGACATGGCGACAAATTTAGATCTTGCCGGCATCCACACTCAAGATTTTGTTCAAACATCCGTTAACCCAGATGGATTAAAGAACGATTACTTGAAAATCTGTAAAGAAGCAAATATGCGGCCAACAAAATTTATCGAAATGTCCATGAGAACTGCTAACGAAGAGTATACACTGTAAATAATATAAATATACATCTTTCAACGATCGTTACAAAAGTAGAATTTTCTACAAATTTTATCTACCATGCGGCTACGGAAATGATAATAACTCTTCAACTGTATTCCTATTCATTCTCATATTTGTCATACCAATTAAAGGAATCCTACAAACTTACTTCATCTAACTATGAAAGGCAATAATCCTCTAATACAGCAGCAACGCTTAGATGATGATGTAAGAAATATATTATATATTTGACACATTTAGCAGCGTTATCGTGATGTTGTATACTCGTATTTTGGGTAGCAAAATTGTAATATTGTCAATGAATGATCTAACTTGAAGCATAAAAATCTTATAGTTACATTATACCAGTTGCTGCGTTACAGCAATCATGATCTATTGATATTATATGTTATTTCAGCAAATCACAGTTAAATTTACATTCGATGCAGTTTGCTAGTATATACTGTCATACAAATATTGTATACGAATCGTGTGAATTAAGAGAATCATACATATCTAGCAGATATAGTTATTAACGGAGACACTGTAGTTATAGCATCATAGCTCTAAAATCTCTGATCATTGCAAATCTAACTGTTAGAGGATTTAAAATCCAGTATGCTACAAAGAAAGTGCTAATAACGTAATAACTTCTAAATTTTAGGATGCCAACATGATCTGCAGGACAATGAAGGTGAATTTTCATGTTGCAACCTTAAATTTGGCTTATAATAACATATCTGACGAGGGTGCAAAGTGTATTGGAAAACTACTGGTGAGAATAACTAGACACTTCTTGTTCGACTACATATTCACGATGCTAGATCCTGTCTTTCCCTAATTCAGTGCTTATTTATGATTAGGAAAATCATCCTCTACGACTTTTAAATCTTTCATATTGCGATATCGGCCCAGCTGGTGGAGAATACATTGCTAAAGGAATTCAGGTAAAACATTTAAATAACGTAGATTATGACTTAATCGTTGAATATTGATAGAATGTCAAACTTTAATTATAGATGACCGAAACACTTACAGTTCTTGATCTCAGTGGAAACAAGCTGAAAAGTAAAGGAGTTCTAGCTATTGCAGGAGCTTTACAGGTTAAACTGAATCAGATGCCATATCTCAATTGTACTGAATCTAAGCTAAAGGTGGTATAATTTGCAAAAAGAAATAATCAATCGCTTTTTGTAACAATGCATCAATAGGTCAATTTATCAGTAAAAGAATTATATTTGGCCAATACAGATATGGTAAAGAATTTCAATAGTGCTAGGTATTAATTTATTATTGCCTATTTTTCTAAAATTTTTCAAAACCTTTATTGATTTCAGAAAACTGAATGTGTCGTAGCTATAGCGACTGTTCTACGACAAAACAATATTGTACAGATCCTTAATATCGATAGGCCATTGCTATTCAGCCAACAAGTACATTCTTAAATAAATAAGCTTAACGTCTTCATATTCTTTATCAGTTAAAAGTTCTACTATGAATTTACTGGTTATAACTATATTTTAAACAAAATCTCTAAACCCTTCGTTAGGAAGAGACTACAGTCCACATTGCTAACATGTTGAAGGTAACGAAAGAATATCAGATAGAGAACCATTAAATTATTTTCAATTGATATTGTTGATAAAATTAGATGAATTATTTACAATAGGTAAATAGCTCGCTGCGGAAATTACATCTATCAAAGCATGATATTCGTGATTTTGGCGCTGAAAGACTCGTAGAAGCATTAATTTATAATACTGCTTTAGAAGAATTGGATCTAAGCTGGTACGTGAAACAATATTACAACAATTGAAGATATTATACTGAACTCATGTTTCTTAAACTGAATACAGTAATCGCATTACTCGAGATGGTGCCGGTCATATCTCCAAGTTGTTGCTACAAAATACTCCATTAAAGCACCTTAATTTGGATTTTAATAGAATAGAAAGTGATGGAGCAATTCACCTTAGTAGAGTTTTATCATTTAATACACATTTACAAAGGTATTTTTTTACAGCTTTATTTAATTAAAGTGAGATCTGATTTAATACTATACCTATTGTAACATTCGATTCGTAGAATACATGATTAAGACCGAATTTTTAATTACGATTATATTTAGCTTACATATAGCAAGCAATTGTATTAGTGGATCCGGATTGTGTGCTATTGCTGATTCATTATCCAAAAATCAAACACTTATGGGCCTCTATGTTTGGGGAAATAATTTAGAAAATTCTGCCTGTGTTGTAAGTAATTTAAAGATACTCCTATTTTCTTGCAATTCTTATTTCTATAGCAGACTATTGTACTGTTGTTCTATTATGGCCAGCATAAATATATAACTTATGTGGCTAATACAAATAAAAAAACATACTTTAATTTGATCAAAAGGCTTTCCAGGAGTTAATGGAAGATGACCCACCCAGGTTAAAGGAAGAGTTTACCGACGTTAAGCCTTACGTGGTTGACGGAATAGTATATCTAGCTGAATTGAATCATTAAAATGCTATGCCGATACATACGGTCAAGTTATACTATTACAGATAAGCCATTACAAGGCTTAGGTATGTGCGTACTACCGTAAAAAAACTCGCAGATTATTTACTTGGATCAAATTTTTCTGTTCTAAACAAACGTATCAAGGAGTACGCAATACTGGAAGCCGTATTTCATCATACAGTACAATGTATGTTACTAGTTAAAATTCTATGACATGCCCATACAGTACGATACGTTACAGCAGAAGCCTAATGAAGCAAAATGGAATAAAATAAAAATACAAAATACTGATATTGCTCCCTTTAGAATAACGACTAATGTATAAAAATCAACTCTTGTTATATGTCGATTTTTTATTTTAATGCAAGCTGTAAATCAATTCAAATAAGTTTCATTTTAGGAATTATATGGTTAATTATCACAAGATTGAAGTTGCGTATGATCGAGACAATAAAAATTGGATGTGCGTTAAACATAAGTATTAAAGCAGTCGAATAGATACGTCTGTACGAAGGCGACGCAGATTATGACTATGACACTGCTGATGATAGCACAAATGATAGCATATCAAGGACCCATAATACTACTGTATAATCTCACATCGATTTCATCATTTATCATGCTAAGATTGAAATTAAAAAGCAATAGTATGCTTTCAAAGTGCTCTTTACACTAAGGTCTGTAAAGTAACATCGTTCTAAAAATTAAGACATAAATGTAACCATGTTCACAAAACATTCCCTAATCTTGATTTTAACATGTTATCTTTAAGCCTTGAGAAACGCTTCAATACAAAATTAGAAAAATTACAGAAATTTTTTGTAATATACAGTTGATCATTATATAATAAGGAGTTAGATCATTTTATTGGCATAACGCCTATAGAGTACGAGAGATTAGACATTTAAACAAGGTTTTTATTATTGAAATTATCCATATCTTTCGTCTGCTTCACTTGCAATGCCGTTAATTTCAACATCATTTGACTGTACTTCATGCAATTCCGATGCAGCATCTTCCCGATGATTTGTACTTTCATCATCGTTTACTTCGTTGTTGACAGCGGTAAATTTGTTATCAATCTTTTTGTCTATTCCATTTTCAATACCTATTAAGGCAAAACCGTCAATACATAGGTCATGTTATCAATTAACTTAAAAATGAGTCATGATAAAGAACATTTATATTGTGCAGAAGCGAACAAAATAGCCCTTTCCATTACTTACTTCCATTGGTTAACTTGCCTACTTCTGTAGAACTCTTTTGCCAGGAAGGGATTGATGAATTACGTTGAGGCAATTTCGGTGCAGAGGGAAATTGTTGTCTAGTTGATGACATAGAAATCAATATCAATCATTACTAGGAACATTTTTGATACGATTTTCTAGTCATGGCAGTCCAACATCCATATTTATAGATTTACCTGCTTAGCATAAGACCTTTAATTGTTGCTAGATCTTTCTTTAACTCGCCAACCACGTGTGATTCAACGTTACCACCCTAACCATTGAACAAAATTTCCATTATCTGTAAACGTAACATAAACACTAAGATAACAAATAGTTCAACATCATCATTCAGTCAACCTGATTTAATGGGCCTCTTGTTATCATATCTACTTTGGTTTGTAAGTCGCTCACGCTATCCTGATATATAAATATTGGAAATAAGATTCATTTTCAATGAAGATGGTCAAGCAATCAATTTTTCAATTCATTATTTTATGCAATACCTTGACAGATTCTAAAGTTGACTGGAGACCTCCTACTATAGTATAATTTAAAAATTGAAAAGGAATAAGAAAGCGAGCTGAATAACTTTAATAACATCTAGCGTAACTTGGGATCTATATCAGCCTACCGGTGATAGCCACATCAGCTCTTAATTCTCCTACGCTTGTTTCGATTCTTCTTAAATGTTCTTTATTATCCTTTTGCTGCTTAAACCAAGGCATAATAAATCTCTATATATTGAAATATATTCAATATGAATGCCTGTTTAGTTACTACTGTAGTACAACACCCTAGCTATAGCTATATTTGTTGTCATAGGGATAGACGATTTGAAATGATTGCCTAGTACAGTGCCTACTTACAGTTATTAACACCTTGATTCCATAAAATGCCCCTGCAACTAAAGCGGCAATAACTGCAATATCTCTCCATCTGTAATGCCTGGAAGCAATAGCTGCTGTTGTCGGAACGACTTCTTGCGTATTGGGTACAGCCACAACACTTGCAGGTTGAGTTGGTGATATGGTGGCTTGGTTATTGGTCAGATTTTGAATAGGGCGATGCTAGAAATGATAGCATTTTATGTTGTAGCTTGTATCATGAAAGCAAATTGGGATAAACTAAGCTGTTGTACAAGTGTCGTGGAATTACCTCATCGCTAGCTGTACCAGATCGATCAATAGCAACTTGTAGTTCTTTGGCGGTTAAACCTAAAGCGTTGATAAAGTAGAATTGAATTTAATCGTGAAAGTCGTCGATTGCTGTCCACGGTAGGCAAGAGCTTCAACATGGTATATTATTAAGGTGAAGTATCACAGTACCTTTTTTGAGTAAAAATGCTTTTCGTTGAGGGAAAGGGCTTTGTCGTACTTTGGGATTTTGAAGAAATTTAACGGCAGTTGATATCTAGATGATTGATTGAATGAATACACTGTCAAGGGTATCATCATCAACAAGCTGTTGATGGCGCTACATCCAAGGCAGCAAGTACTATGGTGAATACTATCTTGTCCATCTGATGATGATAGTTTAAATGTGCTGTACAGTACTGTATTGGATCGAATAGAATGACGATGAACACCTACTACACTACAGTACTACAACTACGGCGTATCCTACCATATTTTCACGAACGGTTTCCGATTGATTGGATGATGGCGTATTGGAGGCAGCTTGTTCTTTTTTTCCTTCTTCAGCTCCTGGTGTGGCATCCTTGCCACCCTTGAAAATGATTCAACAATTGACTTAGCCTAACGCAGTCTTGTCAATAACAGGCTGCTATTCAGTAAACGAGTAGACTGTAATACATGCAGATGAATGTCAACGTGCTTACTTCAGATCCTGTCGTTGAAGGAGTCTTGTTTGCTACGTCAGCCATTTTCCTTGCTCAGAAATGTGCTCTTGAAGACAGCATCCAAGTTAAAATATCGCGGACTTTAACCTGCCTGGGTGCCCAAATGAAATTTTCAACTGTAAACATCGCCAGCAGCAGTACGGCCAAATTTCCGTCATCCGAATACGGTACAGTACAGTACAGTCTATTTGTACAGTACACAGAGGTCATCAGAAGCCATGATTGTGGCCAGTTGGTAGCCAAGTTCCTTGCCAGTTAGAAGCTAGACATCGGACGCCGACAGTCAGCGAATACCGTGCTTTAGTAGCCCATCTTTGAGTACTTGGCACTAAGTACAGTACGGTACCGTACCGTACTATACCGTACCGTACTGTACCGTGCCATACCATACCGTACCGTACCGTGGCATCAACTGCCTCAGGTCGATGAAATACCCCCACGTCGACTCCCTTATCAACTCCCCCGTTTAAATAAATAGGGAATAAATAAAAAGGATTTTCTATACAGTCAGTACAGTACAGTACATACTGTACTGTATGTACTGTACTGTAGATACAGTAGACACAGTATTATACTGTACTGTACAAAGGATGAGGTCAAAAATTGAAAAAATTGATGCAGCACAGTGTACAGTACGAATAGACGTACTGTACACTGTAATCAAGGACGTCAAGACTTCGGTACTGGAGTCAGCAAAAACTACTAGAACCGGTCGTACTGCAAGCCTGTACTGTACAGTACTGTACAGTGTACTGGTACCGTAGTGTACTAGAGTACTTTACGTACTTTTCTTTCATCCATCTTTCTTTCTTTCTTTTCTTCCTTTCTTTTTGTTGGAAAAAAGTATAGTACTCTGCTGTACCGTACACTGTATCGTAGTCAAGTCACTCTCTTTTCTCTTGAGTACTGGACCACCATAGTGGTAGTCAAAAACTACAGTACTGTTGTTGGAGTTTTTTTCTCTCCTGAGTGATTACAGTACTGTATACTGTATCGCACAGTTTAAAGTACTGTAAGAGCGCTTGTTCAGCATTCGCCACGATCGTGGGTAAAGTCTAGTACTACCATAGAGGAAGACATACTGTACTGTTACCATAGAGGCAGACATACAGTACAGTACGGTACTTTACTGTTACCATAGAGGAAGTCATACAGTACTGTGTACTGTACTATTGTTCCAGCTTTTCTCTCTCCTGAGTGATTACGCTACAGTACAGTATACTGTCTTCTACAGTACAAAGTACTGTTGACAGGGTCAAAAGTACTGTAAGAGCGCTTGTTCCAGCATTCGCCACGATCGTGGGTGAAGTCTAGTACCACTGTACGGTACTGTACCATAGAGGCAGTCATACTGTACTGTACTGTTACCTGTCTGCACTGTTGTTGTTCGAGCTTTTCTCTCTCCTGAGTGATTACACTACAGTACAGTATACTGCATTTTACAGTGTACGATACTGTAGACCAGGGTCAAAAGTACTGTAAGAGCGCTTGTTCCAGCTTTCGCCACGATCGTGGGTAAAGTCTAGAACTACCTGTACTGTTACCATAGAGGAGTCATACTGTACTGTACAGTACAGTAGTGTTGTTCCAGCTTTTCTCTCTCCTGAGTCATTACAGTACTGTACACTACAGTACAGTGTACTGTATTACACAGTGTAAAGTACTGGAAGAGCGCTTGTTCAGCATTCGCCACGATCGTGGCTAAAGTCGCATCAATTATTATCAGTGACGAGAGACGACGCACAGGCGAAGTGACGTTTCAAAAAATCGACACTACTGTACAAGTACTGCAGTCAGCCAGTCAATCGCTAACGTCTTGTTCCTTCAACACTGATCTACCAGTCCCTCTAGAACTGTCTACTGTGTTGGCACCATTTTCTTTTTGAAGATCGTGTAAGAAAGATAGAGCAATTAAAATGCCGGACCACTTAGGAAATGATATGAGAAAAGTTCATGACGACGATGAAAAGGATGATAAACCATTCAAAGGTACTCTACCAGTGTATTCGACACGATTTGTTTCCTATAGTGCGTTGAAATGCTTCCGTTTCACTTTATTGTACAACATTGAATGAAACTTGGGTTGCTTAATCTATACTGGAAATCGGTCAAAATTCATCAATTGATCTGAACATCTTGTAGTTTAGCGTCAGTGAATTCCTGTTGATAACTATGACATATTGTAGTATACAAAGTTAATCGCTTCTTTCGTAGCCTTCTACTCTATCCGTTGTCTACTTTTCCCGCATTCACTAGAGGAAACCTATCCTATCCATGGACGGGTATACTACTTTCAACGGACTATGTAGATACTGTAGTCTGTACAATGATAAAGCGCATGTCAAGAATGAACTGCTAGTTTATTGCACCAATCTTAAATCACGCTATTCTTTCTATGGTAATTTGAATTAACCTTGGATATTGATTTCATCATTTCTAGCACTGGATGAAGGTGATATTGCATTATTGAAGACTTATGTAAGTAATCTGGATAGAAATGCCTACATCTTATTCTTGTCCAGCACAAAATCGTACCTCGATTAGGAAGAGTACAGTCCAGTGCAACAAGACAGTATTTTACCAAGTCAAAGTTTGACTGCTATCATACTGTATAGTTAGCTTAGACTTGAGACCTTCTTTACTACTCCGCCATCGGACGGAATGATTGTGGTAGTTTAGGACAGTATTACATGCTGCTTGCAGTGATATCATTTCACTTTCCTCTACTCAATGCTAAAAGTGTGGATTAGCTTTTCTACAATTTCCTGCAATTATTCAATTTAATTGCATAGCTCAATAGAAAATTCCAATAAGCTAAAATCAGTACCTTTAGCTGATTATCATAATGCACTTTGTCACTGTCATTCTATAGGGTGCAGGTACCTACGATAAACGTATCAAAGTTGCTGATGACAGTATACTGAGCCTTTCTAAGAAAATTAAACAGTTGGTTGGTAAGTAATTTTGATTAGCGCACTATATCTATTGCCTATTCTCGAACAATAACGGGTATGAGAAGTACATCTTAGGAGCAGAATCAGTAATCGATAGCTTAATTTTTGACGTCCTACAACTACGGCCTTACATGTGTATTTTAGTACAATATCTCTAAATACAATTAAATGCTCGTATTTCTGCTATAATTTCAAATAATCCAGGCACCAAAGAATCAGATACTGGACTCGCTCCTCCAGCGATGTGGGATTTGCCTGCGGATAAACAAACACTTCAGGCAGAACAACCTCTGCAAGTAAGTTTAGTACTGGATCAAGCTCAGTACTTTCATCGTAAATAATGAAGTTATCACGTTACATTTCTTCTAAATCACTTCAACATCTGTTTAACATTGCATTAGGCGAAATAAAAATTTGCTATCCTATTACAGTACAACTTTTTCAAAATAATATCGATACCATTAAGTAATTTTGTAGTGAGCAAGTTAGTTACCAGTGTAAAATTTCTTACCAAATAATTAACATCATTACCAGTAATATCAACATTATTATTTAATAAATGATTCAAATTCTCAGCATAATAATGCTATAAATCTATTGAAGAACTAGAATCCCTTGATCATTTCAACAAAGTAATAAATACTTTCATATTAACTTGTACAGGTTGCCCGTTGCACAAAAATCATCAATGCTGAAGGCGAAGATCCACGCTATATCATCAATGTTAAACAATTTGCTAAATTTGTGGTAGATTTAAAAGATCATGTCGCACCTACTGACATTGAAGAGGGAATGAGAGTTGGGTAAAGAAAATAAAACGTCTTGTCTTTATTTTATCATGATTAGTCTCATAACTAAAAATTCTCCGATAATCGTTAGTAAAAATTTCATATTTAATATCCCTATGCTGATTTAGAGTGGATCGCAATAAATATCAAATTCATTTACCACTACCTCCGAAGATTGATCCTGCTGTTACAATGATGCAGGTTCGGTAATATACGGGCGTTTTATATGCATTCCTTTTCGGTACTAAGGAAATATTTTCGACTTAAATGGTCATAGGTGGAAGATAAGCCAGATGTGACTTATTCAGATGTAGGAGGATGTAAAGAACAGATAGATAAATTAAGAGAAGTTGTTGAAATGCCGATGTTACACGTAAGTACGGTTATAGTTATTGAGTACGTCTCATTTACTCGTCGTAAAGTAAAAGCTTTTCCATCCAACTTCTAATTTGCAACAATGAATGTTCTCAATAGCCGGAAAAGTTTGTAAATCTGGGAATTGAGCCCCCAAAGGGTGTCCTACTATTTGGTCCTCCTGGAACAGGAAAAACTTTGTGTGCTAGAGCCGTGGCTAACAGAACAGATGCGTGTTTTATACGTGTTATTGGCTCAGAGCTAGTACAGAAATATGTTGGGGAGGTATTTCACACGAATAATCTCATTTATGAAATAATTCTGTAATTCTACCATGAAATCCTTTTTATTATAAAAAATTCAATTTCGTATGTTAGGGTGCTCGTATGGTAAGAGAGTTGTTTGAATTGGCCCGTAGTAAGAAGGCATGTATCATATTTTTCGATGAAATCGATGCCATCGGTGGTGCAAGATTTGATGATGGTGCTGGTGGTGATAATGAGGTACAAAGGACTATGTTAGAACTTATTAATCAATTAGACGGCTTCGATCCTCGAGGGAATATTAAGGTTCTTATGGCGACAAACAGGTGATTATTTCAAAATTTGTCAGCCAAGGCTCTGATAGCAATACTTAAATTTCGACACCATATTTTTAGACCTGACACTTTAGACCCGGCCTTAATGCGTCCAGGTCGTCTAGATCGAAAGGTGGAATTTGGATTGCCCGACCTTGAGGTATATCATATCATACCCATATAATGTACTGGCAATGATGCTGTGATAATTTCTTTAAAATATTATGATGGACTTAACACAGTTGATGTAAAAAGTACGTATTCATTGGTGCATTTAGGGAAGGTCACATATATTTAAAATTCATGCACGATCAATGAACGTAGAGAAGGGAATTCGTTATGAATTGCTAGCTAGGTTATGTCCCAATAGCACAGGTACTACTTTCATTGCATTGAATGGATTAAAAGATGCTTAAGGTTTTTGCTTATACACAACGGAGATTCTAAATTTATTGCCTCTTTCATTTTATAGGAGCTGAAATACGTAGCGTTTGTACAGAAGCAGGGATGTTTGCTATTAGAGCTAGGAGAAAGGTCATTACTTTTTTAGCCCGTAATAGTAGATGTATTTCTTTCTGATATTTATAATCGCCGTCTTACATTGTTTTCCGTATCATATTAGGTTGCAACGGAAAAGGATTTCTTGGAAGCTGTTAATAAAGTTATCAAGGCATACGCTAAATTCAGTTCAACTCCAAAATACATGACATACAATTGAAAAGATTAGTCAACGAATAGAGTATACTAGTCAATAACAGTAAACCTAAAACCGACTTTTAATATAATAGCTCTGGCAGCCTTGTACTATAATTCGTTTGTAAACCAGGTGAACATTATAATTCTTTGCTAATTCTTCATGGTTCATAATTTCGATATGTGCGTTGTTTAGTGGTCTTCGCATATTCTTTCATTTCTTATTCAATAAAGTATAACGGCACTTTATTTCATAACTTGTATGCAATCTGTTGCTACATTGTACAGACTATCTGTTTATGCTTTACATGAATTTCTTTTGATGTACATTAGTCTCTATCTTAGCAATTACCTAAGCAAATCGGACTATACTCCTCCTCCCTTCAAATTTTGTCTGAATGATATTTTCGTTGCCAGTTTATGGCACTACACAAGACTATACCATACAGGAAATACGAAAAAGTTTTTGGACATTTTAGTTCATGATGTTACCCTAGCAACGTAACGTTAATATACCCAGTTTAAATTTGACAGCCTAATAATTAATTCTTACGGTACGAGGGAACTGAGTTAGCGATAAGATATTCCACCAATACGCCTCCGTATCTTATTCCAAACGGAGGTTTTGAGAGATGTAGTGCTTCTACAGCATAAAAACTCCTTTTTGTACGATCGCAATTTTAACGTCAGGTTACTTTTTCTACAGTGTAATAGCGTACAGAGCATGATAACGAATTAAACTGATATCCAAAGATTAAAATGTTTAATTTAAACTTTCTTATCTTTTCGTCTATTTTATGTTATTCATTTGTACGCGTACAAAGATAAACAGCTCTACTTTGCAAATTATTACCACCATTTTTAAATCTTTTTATTTTTCTCCAATACAGCTTTCAATGGCATCTTCGTACCACTATAGTAAGATATGCGAATATCATATCGAACAAAAACATTCCATAATTTAACTTTCATAACATGAACTGGGATGATGATAAATAATTATTACAAGAGGTCGATAACAGTGCTCTAGATATAGGAAAGTTAAAAAATTTAGCATAGTTGTCAGTACATAGATAATACTTAAATAAATAAACTAAATGAAACCGTTGTTGAATATATTCGTATGTAATCTTTTAACCAGTACTTCAATTTGATTCGACGATACAGTACCGCTATGAATCATCATAAGGCAAGTTATTGTGACCAGTTACATTCTTAGTAGATTCCTTCTTGATATGATACCTCATTAATCCAGCGTTGTAGGCAAATACAACGAGCATAAGAAAGTAAGTTGAAAAGATCGTTGGCACAGTTAGATTGGTGGTGTCTATTCGCTCTATAGCATCAGATATCAATGCATCAAGTTGGAACTTGATCAAAATTAAAGTAAACACATATATCCAATGCCGACTGTGACCAAGTTTATCAAAAGTACCAGGCCAATAGTATTCCGGAAATTTCAAAATGTACGCTAAGACAATGATACAAAAGAAAACCAATTGCCAAGTAAATAAGGGTAGTGACAACCAATTGCAATCAATGGGTAAGCAAGAAGTAAATCTTAATATAAGGAAAACATGACTGATTGTTGCCATCCAAAAATAAGTTGACAAGTGAATTGCTCTCAACCAAGTTGCATTGATATTACGTTGGTAATGACTAAGATTTAATATGGTAGTGGATAACATTGCCAAAAGAGCAGTTGTGTAAAGATATAGTTGCATGTAAGGGAAAATAGCAGGTCTCGAAAAGTGATACAGAGCTATTGATAAGCCTACGTAGAATATTGTTGTTGACGATCGATATAGAAACATAACTCTACCTCTCGCTGGTTCAGAAGTTGCTGATAGCAAATGAGAGAGTAACAGAGCAATAAAATAACATAAAGCACCACATGCATAACACATCAAGGGATAAGCTCTTCCATCATACCAAAAAGCAACATTGTGTAGATGTTTCACTAGCCTTACAGTTAAATAGATGCAATTGATGAAGCACAGCCATACGTTGATACAGTCATTGTTGAATGACAAAGTGCTCAAGATACATTCTATCACTGTTAAGTCGCTTTCTCGATAGCCGTAAATGATATAGGATCGTTGGTAAGGAGCGGTTACTTCGCTGCGATTGTAAGTATTTCTCCATCGATATTTTTGATAATCTCTCCGACAATGGGCTAGGCAGCTGGCTACTTTTGCATACCAATCACGTAGACAATTGCGTAACTTGTCTTTCAGGGTCATAATATGGTATAATGGCATTGATTTCGAAAAGGAAGATAAAAAACTGTTGATAAAATAAAGAAATTAAATTGCTGACGAAACACTTTCAATCAATATCGGAATTTTTTCAGAGTGAATGATTAAAATACTTAATCCATGAGCACCATGTTGAAGGTTCAATCAGGAGTCCACAAATGAATTCAGCCTTGATTAATCATGATTGTTTGTTGATCAACCACTCGAGTGATCACCTTAACATTCATTGGCAGTTCGCTTTAGTCATTACTACAAATAATAGCTAACTTGTCTACGCTGAGCAAAGTAGTAGCCAGTTGAGAAAGATATTCTTTTGGCGCCTTAGACGATTGTTGGCTTCCTTGATCGTCGTATTAAACTGGAAATCAATTTAAAGTCGATTTTACGTCGTCAATCTCGTCAATTTATAGCTTCATTACGTTCGGGAGAAAGGTGTTATTTATCATCCAGAGTAATCTGCTGTACTTTCCTGTAGTTCTGCGCTATTGTATTACTTGATTGATGCTTGTGGTTATTCTTCTACTATTTATTAATTCAGTAAAAGCAGTTATTAATGATGATCATCCAGCAAGGAAAGGATTATGTAGGATAGCGTACGCGGGCACCCCTTCGTATAATAATACTGACTCAAAAATTGGCGAGGCATGGACGGTTGTGACGGACTATACTGTACTGTACTGTAGAAAAGTTGCATTTAGCACTGTCGAGATTTTCAACTTCTGACTAATTTTATGGGAAAAATTTCCAATATCGAGAGAAATAAGAACCCAATTGGCATTCCTGAGTTAGTAGCCTACATATAAATATAGTATTGATCTAGTTTGGGCCTGATTTAACTTACACAATTCTATTTTTTCACGGTGCTATGGAAAATAATCAGACTGTACTATATACTACAGTACAGCAGTCGCTTTCTTTTCTTGCCTTTCCTACCCTTGAACTATACTGTACTGTACGCTGTGTTTATTTTGTTTTCAGATTGCCAAAATCCTTTCTCGAGGTACTTTAAATGATGAAAAATGCCTATCAATTGCATACCAATTACCTACGGGTACATAAGAATATTTAACTTAATGTAGTTTGTTTAATTATGAACAAGATTCTGAAAGCAAAATATACACAGCTGTACATAGTATCACTACGTACATTGCAGATACACGATTGTGCGTACTGTATCGACTGGACATACTATCTTGCTAAAACTCGTCAAAGGTAATCTTAATCATGGACTACTAAACAAAATTTTCAACTGGTCTACACTAGATGACTATTAGCACTGTATGATGTGGGCCAGCGTTCGTTATTTACTATCGATTTTGATGACAGGATACAGAACATTGTTATTGGATACATACGGTGTATTGGCAATCACATCGTTTAAATAAATTATTTTATTAAATGTTGGTTACTTTTACAGCAAACATACAAATTATAAATTTATATTAAGTTCTTCAATTTCAGCAACTTTGCAGGTTGATATTTTGACAAGCAAGCATTCACTCGATATGTTTCACGTTAGTGTTGTACTGATCAAGAGGATAGAAACTACTACCGACTGTCCTACAATCGGTGCAGACTAACGAGAGGGACAATAAATAAATAAATAAAATGCTTCACAGTCAGCACTCTGTAGTCGGACTTAGCATTGACGAATGTGATGATTTGGACTGCCAAAGAGTCTTATGAGACTACAGCAATCATGGACTTTTCCCTTCAAAGTGTCTGCTACAGGAAGTATAGTACTAAGAAAGAGAAGGAGGAGAAGTGGCCGTTCAGCGCAAATAATGTAGAGGCTATCATTTTTTTGGTCATTCTACTATATGCTATCAACGAAATCGCCTGTCATACTGCACAAAACCAATTTAGCACCTCAGGTGGATGTCAATCATGGACATTACAGTACTGCAAACATTAATAATCTCCTCTTTCTACAGGAAAGAGCCTCCACGACGTAATATCTGCCAATCCTAGTCGACGCTTGCAGGTTGTAGGCATTAAACCTGCCAACGCTTGTACCAGTGATTGATCGAATTATAGTATTACGTATTCTAACGGAGAGGGGTACCAAATGCTGACATCATGCTTCCCTAACGATGATCCAAAATACAATTCTTTACTTAATACCATCTGGCTCAAGTCGTTAACAAATGCACTATTTTCAACTTATTAACTGAGTTGTCCTTGCCAGATTACTGTAAGTCGTAGATTCGTATCTACGCGTATTAGCTAGAAGTACTATGAAGTTATCTAGCGCAATCGAGAACTGTATGTGGGTCAAAGTTGTCAGTACAGTAGATGATCGAATACACCAATTTCTATCTCTTTAAGTAGGGTTATACCATCTTGCTAAAGGTTACTTCGACTAACAAATCATGGCACTTCGATAGAGTAGCTACAGTATGCTGTAAATACCGTACCATTAAGTAATCCAGCACAAATCGAGTCCTATAGGTGGTTCAATATTGTCACTACATAACAAAATATACCCATTTCTGCCACATAAATAGGATTGCACTATTTTATTTAACCTTAATTCCATTTGAAAATCATGGCACTTCAATGAATCTCTACGAAAACAGCTAAAGCAATAGTAGTTTTCAAAATATCTTTGCTGATCAATAGACGGTCTGGAAGAAATCTAGAATAATGGCATGTTTTTCTCAGAAACATATGTAACATATTTAATCATCTTGAATAGGCATCTTCGTACTCTCTCGGAAAGAAATTCCGGTAGAATTAGCATATACCTTTATTGTGATCAGTCCTTAATGATCTTGAAGAGGCTAAGACACTTTTGTTACTGAAATCTTGCACAATTACTAAATATTTATGTCATTTTTATTTGTATATGCTACAGACAGGTATTGTCTACGTGTATTATAGTAGCACGAACAAAAAATACCTACCTCTACGGATGTTCAGATGTTTTTAATTAATGTTTAATCATTAGACCACCTCTATAATCAGTCTTAGTACAGGTGCCATGCCAATCGCAAAAAAACATTATTCATACATTTACCGCAAGGTAACTGCACATTAAAGCCAAGCTTCTGGTTGTAAGAAACTGTACTGTAAGTATCTAAAATAATATCAAATTTTCACTTCCACCGTCTACCCTATACCATGAACTATTAGAAATACTATAATTTCTAGTAGCCCATATTCAAACCTTTGCCTATACAAAACTGGATACCGCAATTGTTCATGATTGATAATGATACTGTCTCAAACATCGTATATTCATCGTTCATAACTGAAATCGAAAGCAAAATAATCATTTCAGATCCTATATCGACTATGATAAAGTTAGGTACTAGACAACGTGTAGGCAATGGCCATTATATAATCAACCAGACTATTTCTATAGTATAATATTGTAATTACAAGACATGCTACCGGCAATAGTTTCATAGTACCCTGTAAAATCATATAAGGCCATAGTCCATCTACGCGTATATTAATAATAAATACTGTATATCCCATATAAAAGAATACTATTTATTAATGGATATGTACTTTGGATATTTGATATGCTACCGGTTATGGTATCACAGTACTCGATACTGTAAAATTGTGTAAAGTCGTAGTCCATTCACATTAATCTACCGCATATTAGGGGATGTCATTTATTTTTTAGTGTGTTCATATATATATATATATATACTTTAGATATATTGATGCGTTATAATGGCTATCTTTCCACGTGGAATTACATTTTATGGAATTACGCTTCTATCCAACGTGGTATAGAGTATATTTATAGGTGACAAAATGTAATCTACGACACTTATTTCCGCTAGCCGTGTTAGATAAATCAATGACTAACAATTAATAAGCAAATTTACGAACTATAATTTAATTTAATGTCAATCATTGTCAATTGACATTGAAGCTATCAATAGTATTTTATTATTTGCTTTAAGATCAAGAAAATACGTACGGTATTTTAAATTAAGAGCATTATAAAGCAATATCATACTCAGTTGTATAAACCAAACGTTGCTGTTCGTGAATGATTTATTAATTTTCGACCAATCTAATCGTGAAAATAAATGGCGTGATGTCAAATTGCCTGTACTTTATTTGACAGAGGTTATACCGTACTATGGAGAAGTAAGATTAAGAACATAATTTCGAAAGAAAGATACACTTTCTAAAATGATATGAAATACTATGAATAGTAGTTAGTAAAATGATTCACAGTAATATTAGCCAGTATCCTAGTTTCAACAGTTACTGGCATAAAACAGTTTTAAAAATTTTACCATGCCCTACAAGATTTTACTTTAATAATGAATGCATAATAACGATCATTCATTATAAAGTATAGCCTCATAGATTAATAAAGGATACGAAGTATATTAAATAGAAAATTTTAGGAATAGAGTAAAACATCAAGCAATATATCGGTAGAATCTATCAGCAGAGGATAAATCGCTATGTAAAAATGGATATTTAAGAGTATGATCGCCATTTTTATATTTTCGATATCTGCAGTTATTTGAAGTAATCGGTCAACTCAATTAATTATTTTTCCGATTTCTTGGACCGTAGCAGAATACAATAAGGAATAACAGCATAATTAGGAAAAGAGTATTTAAGAGTAAATGCAAAATTACAGATACCCAATAATATAGATATAATGATTAACCACGGCTAGCAAGGTAACTGAAATAACATAACTTGAAAAAAAAATTGATTTTACACTTTCAATCAATATTCTGATTTAGATATATTAAATTCAATTAAATAAGATCTTTATTTACTTTCTCTATATGGCACAAATAGAATAGTCCTACAGCCCAAGATTGGCATACTTAAACTGTAGTACTCCAGAGGGACCAAGTACGTGCTGCGACTGGAGCGGTAGAATGAAAGGAAGTTTCTTGCCAACTATTGTGATTATGATTAAGGAATTTACTTTTAAAAATACAAATAACTTCAACCATTTCTATACGTAAACTCTGAGTATTGAATAAGTAGACCAGTGGATTAACGGTGGCATAAATAAAGATTAGCAAAATTGAAATACCGTAAACATAGTAAAATACATCTTCATTAAGCCAACCATTAATAAAACTTGAAATGATATAAGGCGACCAACAAAAGGAAAAGATACCAATAATCATTAAAATATGAGTTATAGCTCTTGTTTTCCTTTTCGCTCGCAATATTAACGGTCTATTAGAAACTAGCGCTGAAATGGATCGTTTACGTGACCAAATTACGATTAGTATACGAACATAAAAAATAATAGTTACACCCAATGGTATGAAAAAGAGGAGTGCAGAAAATGATTTTAACAGCAATTGACTACCAGTATCGAGCTGAAAATTGACATCACAGGCTGTCATATTTCCTGGTGGCACAACTGACATAGTAACGATAGCTGGTGCAGCCAGTGAAGCAATCCAAATTAATAAAATAGACAGAGATTTTTTAACTGGGGTTAAAGGTGAGTGTAATGGATAAATAACATGACAGTAACGATCGTAACTAATTAAACTTATATGATAATTAATATTAATCGACATAGATTGAGCTAATAATGGTAATATAATGCAGAAGGGGAAAAATGTTTGGATTTGAGGGAAACCAAATGTTGGTATAACATAGAGTCCACCGAAGAGAGCACCGGCGAAAAATTTACTACACAAGATTAGATTGGATGAATTATGTAGCCTTTTACGCGCACAAATTAGCATCATAACCGCTACATTAGTCATAACAGCGAGACAGCCAATGGACACTGCAGTAATTTCATACGCAACTGAGTCAATAAAGTTGTCAGGATCACTCATTGGATTATCATTTGAAGAGGACATTTTTTTCTTGAGTTAGCTAGCGTCTAGCGATATAAAGACCTTTCCTGTTTGATTTGCAATTCTTCTTGAAGACTGATATTTCAAGTTTTATCAATAATGACTTAAATAGTCGTATTAATATTTTGCTTTTGTTTCAAGTTGTGGCGATAGTAATATTAAGAAAACAACTCTTTATGTTACAGAATGATGCTATTCACAGTGATGACATCCATTACTTTCCGCAATACTTTGAATATTCTCATGCCAATTGGGGCTATCAATGACTTATTTGTTTGAAGAGAGATATTGCAAATCTAAATATCAAAATACAAAAGTATGAATGAGAATACTGTATCTCTTTAAACTTGGAATTAGGTTATGTAGTATTCAATTAATTTCAATATCGTCAAAATTGTGAATGGATTCATATTTGGCAATTCTACAAATCCTAGATTACTAAATTAAGGTACTGATATTGAAATAGCAATTTTTTATTATTTTCTAGTTAGAATGAAATGGATACACTAGCTAGCGTAATTTTTCTTAACTCACCTAGGATAACAATAAATTTACACTAGAGTAACGTGTTTAAATGATCTAATTATTGTAATGGATACTTAACTTAAAGGCATGAGAACAAGTAAAGAACCATGTCAGAAAATAACAGTAATTCCTTTTCTAATGTGCTATTGACTATATTTTTAGCATACCACTAATAGTTACAAAATTGGTAATACGAATAATTCAGTTGGATTAATCATTACTCGTAGATATACCGTGAGATTTCTTTCTTAATTACGATACTCCACAAAATTTTATCATTACAAAAAATATTGGCGATATAACTGCATAAAAAATAAATACATAGAATGCATTATTTTGTAGCATTCAGTACCAGAAAGTGTCTGAAAATTTTTTTTCTGCATCTTAATACTTCTATTAGGTTGTGAATCTACTTAGCCGTAAATCGTCAAATGATTAGGATAAACTAAGCGAAAATAATATTCAAGAATAAGAATAGTACCTTAGAAGCGAGTTGTGAAGAAGCCAAATAGTGGAAGGTTTATAAACTTTTCTAATCCAAAGTTGTAATAGTTATATTATAGCTACCGCAATTACTGAAAAGAAACAATCAAAACTGATATAGAAACGTTATTCAAAATTTTCCTTTTAAGACAAAATAAGGGACTATATTTCGATCTAACGATTAGTTGATAATTACCTCGGTATTACAGTCTTTGATGCAATAGGTTACGGTCCAATTCTATTAGTTAGTTATCGGTAATCTGAGCAATGGGAAGATCAGAAAGAGAAAGTTATTAAACGTCTAAATCGATTACTTTTATCTACAACTCTATGACAGTAATGAGTTTTACAACAGGCACAAGTATATATCCAATCAGATGACAATAATTAGTGAAATAAAAATTAGTGATACCCAATGCTTTAAGTAATTTAGGGTGAAATTAGATCGAATTAAATGCAACTAGATTGCCAATGCTTACGCTCTATCATCATTAGTTTTAAATTATTTAAATGCTATCTGCCAATTAATAAAATTGAAATTAGTTCTAGATATTGTATGTCAATATATCTTCTTAATTAATCCAATTGAAAGAGGTTACTATGAGTTAATGATCGCTTTATGTCATGTTGGACTCAATTTTTACTGCAGAAAAACAATTATGAAACATGTAGTTCAATAATATTAAAAATTTTGAGAAGAACCTGTAATGTCCTGCAAATCTATGGAGTGAAGAGAATACGTAACAGATATAAAATAAATGCTAAAACGATAGATGCCAGCAAATTGAAATAGATGTAGAATAATAAAACAACCTTTCTAAATCAATCTTGCGACCTCAATCAATATATTTAATGGCTATACTAGTAAATATTTTAAATTATCAACTAATGGTGTCAAAAAGAAAAATGAAAAAAATTTTTTTTAATTATTAACTTATTTGATATCTAAAACAAATCAGACTGGGTCACCTTAATTTCTATGCCCTGAGGCTACTACTGGCAAAATAGCTACCTTACTTACATGTAATATACGAGTAGATTGCTGTAGATTAATAAAATGCTACTATTTTGATTATAGTAATATCAGCGTAGTTGATCCATTACCGATTAAGATTATTAAAAATTTGATGGAACTAAATTGAAGCAATTTCATTTTTTTATAGGTTATTTTATTAATTAACAGTTCATTTTAATACGCAATAAGTCTTTACCGATCATACTAACCATGGACCATCAAGCATTAAATCAGTGTGTGTATTTTTGTAACAGAAAGAGATCAAAAATAAATTGCTACTGCTGCGTCGCCAGCTTTCGACATCAATCAATAAATAATGAATTAAGTCAGATTTACCTCTCATACTTGTATATTCTCAATCAATAATTCGATCAATGATTTAATGATATAGAATGAAAATCATTGGATACTAAATGCGATGTTGACTCGGCTCAATCAGTAAATATTTTTTAGTCAATAGCTATGGATCAATTGAAATAAAGGGCCAACTTGCGTGAAGACAAATAATATCGATGAATTGCTTGGAAATTGAGATATTGACGTAAAGGATGCGAGCATGAACATTCAATCGGTTAAATCAATGAAATAGCACCAAACCACTATGTAATACTTTTTTACCCACTCCTCTTCCTCTATTCTTTTTTCCGCTATTTTAAATTATCTATGATCTCTTAATCAATGGAAAGAATGAAATTTTTATTGCCTATTAACTCCTTTATTCATAGTTTTATTGAACTTTGGTATTGCCAATTTATCGATCAGAGATGCTATTTGTATCGTTACAGAGCGTAAACGTATCGAAAGTAATTGACTTATAAACCGACATTGATGGCAAAGGCATAAATAAAGAAGGAGGAGCTAGCGTTTATTATAGTCTAGCAAAGTATTCAAATTTTAAAAAATGAAAGTCTCGCCCTTCCACCTTATTCCTCTAGACATTCAAGATAGTGTAACAGTATATTGTTATCATCGCTCTTATAGTGGTCCAGCCAATTGCAAATTAAAATATAGAGAATAGACAATTAACGAATAGTATTGATATTTTTTTGCCCTGTACGATGGAATTCACACTTATCATATTCAATTTGCTAAATACTATTTATTTCGCCATAATATTGTTGGCTAAATGAACATACAGAGATTTATTCTATTGAATAGATAGAATCGTGATGCGCTAGAAGTAAATAAGCTTCATTTTTTACTTTACTGTATTTCGGCTCAAATTTTAATTCACATATGTTCCAGTTGTACTTTTTTTGACCGACTTAATTCCGTTATAAAAAAAACGCATAGAAATTATGAAAACATCCGATAGAAGTTGCTATTCTTTTATCCATTTACATTACATGAACTGTCACAGGTAAAATATGGATTTGTTGTTCCTATTGTTATTATCAACACTGATGTTGTTGTTGTTGTTGCTATCAATGTATTAATATAAGTGAGATCATGTTATTGTTTCGGTTAGGTAAAAGCGACATGTACACCCACTAATCTACAACTTTAAGGATAGAAAACAATTCATTGCATATATTCCCCTCAGGTCAAGTCCCTAGAGAAAAATATGTCAAAATAGATCTTTTAGAAGCTGCCATTATCATTCACTCTGTTGACAATATAGGATATGAAATCGATCAAAGAAGACATTTTCAGCATCAATCTTTGGTTTTACTTTTTATATTTATTTACTTTATTGACATATAGTATCATTATGTTGCTACAATATTTAAAAATAGCATCCAATTTTTATCAGTACAACGTAGAAATGATGATCGAAATTTTCTGTAATCCAAGCTTAAGGGAAAGGAGTGGAGTTGGAGCTAATAAAAATTATCATTCATTTTCAATCCACTTTAATGTCATTAAATAGTAAATAATTGGCAATACTTTGATTGCCATTACTTACCAGCATTGACTAAAATTTATACCCTCCAGTAAAACACTTAATAATTTTGAATTAGCACATTATCAAAGTAATGACAATCTACACTTACTTATTTATACTGTACGGAATGAGAATAAATTATATCGAAATTAAAAGTTTAGTAACTTATTACTTTGGGTAATAATTTACAAATAATATCCAATTTAAAATATTAGAAGTAGATGAGTGACAGGACTAGAACAGCCACCGATAATGCTAAAATACCTTACTAAATCGAATAAAATGTTAAGGAATATCCCTACAGTCTAGGTAATAAATATTTAATTACGTCATGGCAGCCTTCAATATAGATATCATCGGATTCCTGAGTATTAGAATTGATCATCTAAGCGATCTGGTCGAACTATAGATCTACCCTATATAAACATTGCAGTTAAATAAAAACCTAATGACGTATTTTTGTTGAAATAAATCATACTGAGAATTTTTCAGTTTAGACGACTACTGAATATGAATATTATGCGATTTAGGGAAAATATATCAGTACAACATGTCATAGAAAATTAAAACTGCGTTATATGTCGATTTATTGATTATAGAATTCGATATTAAAATTTTACCAGGCTAGTAGCAGTCATAATTGAACGAATGAACTGGATATTTAGGTAGAAAAGATGATATTATATAGGAGAAAAGTGATACTATCCAATTGGAGAATGGATTCAAAGATGATATGATCACGCTGCTAAGTTTCACAATATCATGGCTAGCAATAATTTCATGCATGAATTATGAATCACTTAACAAAGTCAATAGATGACTTTCAAACAACAGAATTATAATAACGATCATTTAAAAGGGGATAAAATATCGATGTAGGACTACAAAGTAAAAGCAGACAAAATCATGCTTGATTAACTAACAATTTTAATTCAATTTTGCGTGGAGATTACCTCTAGTAGCTATTGTATGGGTAGCAGAAGACATGATGGCATTTTGCAATGGCATAAATTAATGGTCATTGTTGCAAGGAATAAGTTGAACATGATAACTCATAAAAATATTTCATCGAAACATTTTTTATTTCTCGATAAT